TTAAAAAAAAATTTGAAAGTTTTTCTTAGGATTTTCTGTGAATTTTTTAGAAGTTTAGTCGAGAAACTTTTATAATTATCAAAATTTTTGTGTACAAAATATCAATAACAGAAAATTCAATAGCGAATTATGGGTATTTTTCTTAATTTTGATTCTTAAACATTTTGAGGGACTTTGGTACAAGGGAAGGGCAAAATTATTATTTTATAAAATTTGGTGAAACAAGTTTAATAGGAAAAAAATGTCAGGAGTGTTGTTGAGTAAGGCGGGGTCAAAGTTATAAATATTGAACATGTTCAATTTTTTGTGACTCTCCATTTAGTAAGAAAGAAAAAAATTAAAAAAAAAAGAGAGAATAAGAGATGAATAAAACATCTTTAGAGAAAATATTACATTCCATCCTCCTTTTTTGTTGTTTGAATGAAAGAGAGAATAGAATAACATCATAATTTATTGCCTTCATTAATAGGGAAGGGAGGCATAATTTTTTTTTATCATTATTTATAATATTGTAATGTTTAAAGTTGTTCGGTTGTATGGAAGAGAATAAAATAACCTCACAATTTACTACAAGACATAGTTTTAAAATTATCCGACTTATTATTTTAAAATTAATTAATAATTAATCTTAACCAAACTTTTATATACATCGGTTCCTATGTAGCGTAGTCAAATTGTATTCAACTTTTAGTGGATAGGGTTGATGTGTCGGGTACGTATTATTTAAAAACAGTAATAAGATAATAATTTTCAGAATCTATAGTCTAATTTAAAAATCTCAGAAGATAACATATTAGGAATAAAATTCTCTGAATTAAGACTTTGGCTATTAAGTCTTTTTTTAAATAAAAAAATATATATATAACACCCGTCATTCTCTGACCGAGTCGGTGCAAATCAATAGATTGCTTTATTTGTTAGTTTTTAGATAATATTAAATTTGGTGCCAAAAAATTAAAAAGAAGAGCGAAAAGACGAATCAGACCATGAAAAATATTACAAATCAAATCACTTTTAAAAGAACAGTGATATTCACACCATTGCAGTTAATTGTATAACTAAATAATTTGTAATTGATTATTTATAACAAATATAACTAAGTGGAGAATTCCACTTTCTTATTGGTTGTATAATTGACCAATTAAAATAGTATTAATTCACTGCAACTATTCGGTCAAGAATCATTTTTCCTTTTAAAAATAAAATAGTTCTATTTACTTGGTCAGTAGCTTAGCGGCATCAGGCCTCTATTTCTCAAAAAAAAGTAAGAGATTTGAACCTTAATATAAACATGTGTGTGTGAGTACTAAACAAAAAATCAAAAATAATTTTACTTGGTCTGATTCGACCTAAGCCCAACAAATTCACAAAGTGGTAAGACTTACCCTGATCCATTGTTGGTTCCACAACTTCATGTCTTATTCAGCATGAGCTAAAAGATTAGCATAAAATCATTTTTCCTACAATATAGAAAGGAAGTGATTTGCCTTTTTTTTTTTTTTTTTTTTAACAAGGATTCAAAATTCTCTCATATGAAAGAAACTCTCAATTTCATTTAGTGGGTAAACTTCATTCCTATCAATGACAAATTTCTTATTATAGTCGAGTGCCAAATTATAATAGTGTGACATGTGAGATTTCACTTGTTTAAATTTTGTTACTATTTGCTGTGAGGCAAATTTCACACCATTATAATAATAAAATTTATCATTGATAGTGATGAAAGAGAGGAATTGGATCAGCTTCCTTAACATGAACATACATAAAGTAGATTTAAAAGTTAGGTTTTTGGTAGTTGCAGGATAAAATAAAGGCATTCAAATTATTCTTTTTAGGTGATTTTCTAGAAAATTGTACTTAAAAAAGGCTATATATATATTTGCTGATATATATTGACGTAGCTTGCTAGTTGCTTGTGTTACGTGTATTGTCCTCCGAGTCCTCCAGCAACACTATCAAGAACTTAGCTTACGTTAGAAAAAAAGAAAAGAAAAAAGGACTTGCTTCCAGTTTACTGGTCAGTCTATGAGAAAGATAAGGAGGGCTTCATAATTTGTTTTCACGAAAATATAAAATGACTCAGTTGAAGAAGAATTTAGAATATTAAAAAATACCCCAGTCTATGGGTTAGAAAGTCCTTGTGACAAAAGTAGTTCAACTAAAAGTCTAAAATGAATTTGCCTATACTTTACCATTGAATTTAATTGACACCTCTGCCTCCCCCTTCCATGGGAGTGGGAAAGTGAAGGCCATCTCCCATGACTGTAATAAATTCGGCGTGTTTTAATAAGTGCATTCTGTGGGTGTTTTTTTAGGCCGTTGTTTTGTTTTGTTCGGTTAGATTTGTTCATTTCGGTTTGTTTTCGGATCACATAGGCAGATCTGTTGTTTTCTCTGACTATATCTCTGGTCTAGGTCGGTTTTGGTTTTCTCTACCTCGATTTAATCTTTTTCTCCTTTATTTGATCTTGTGTGACGTTTCTTGGGTGTTAGATTATCTTGTGGTTGTAGGTTTGGAGCGATTGCCGTATTGATGGCCAGACCTATCGGCCTCTCTTGTTTGCTGCGTTCTCCCATGGTAGTTCCTTGTGTTATGTTTTCTTCACAAATCTGAAACATGTTCTTCATTTATTTGTTTTGCTTCAAGATTTGTATGTCTTTTCATACCTCTGTATTGTTATCTTAACTTTAGGTCTTTGTACCTTTGAATGATCAAAATAATAATAATAATAATAATAAAATTAATAATAATAATTGACACCTTCACAAAGTATATTGTATTTTGAAGAGTAACGATGACAATTCCGAAGATATTTATGCAAGTTAAGTGATGTAATTATATCATATATATATATTTTTCTGACTAATGATAAGAGAGAAGACTTAAACACGAAAAACTAATAATTAACATGTGTTGGAAGATTTTGATTCAAGCATGACAAACTTGCCCTCGGGGCTTGGGAGTGATGGTAGGGGTTCGGGGCTGGCATCCAATCGGTCAGTGTTTGACTCTTATCAAACCTTTCAATTTTTCCGATTTACCCGTTGTATCTTTGGGGTGAGGCTCTGCACCCCCAGGTTTGTAGCCTAGGGTGGGTCTCGAAGGAGCCCTGCCTAGGTGAATTCCTAGTGCTAAAAAATAGAAAAAAAAAATTATAGCATGACAAACTCAGGAAAGGGAGTTAGACGCTCTAGCTACCACCCCATATTATCGTTACGTCATTCAACAGACTTTTTGCAAAGCAGGCCCAAGAAGTAAAAAAAATGTGGCCATGCCCAATAAAATTTCTTATATATGGACCCACAAAATCATTCGCATTCTTTCTGTCAGTACAGGTTAGGCTTGGGCCCAAAAAAACTGAATGGTCTTTTAGGGCCTGACCGGGCTTGATTGTTACCCAATATCAGTTCGCGTACTATTATATCATGGGCCAGGACTCTAAAGCCCACCCACGGTGGGTCATACAGGAAAAGAGTTCAACCATTCAACATGATGTAAAATCAGAGGAAGTTCGTGAAAAGACCTGGAAATGCTGGGGTATGTTTGGATGTCCTGAAAATATTCAATTCCTTCATTAGTTTTTATAAGGTACTTTTCGTTACAAATTCATCATCTTAAATGCATAGTGGCCCATTCAAACGCGGCCTTAATTTCTCCTTCTTAAACTTTTACTAATATGGGTTAATTAGAAAGGAATGAGAAAGAATCTTCCCCGGATGGAGGCAATTAGGTATAATCATTTCAGTGCCCTAATTTATATTAAAAAGGTGGGTATAGTGGACATCCACCAACTCTTCTTTCTATTCCCTTCATTGATAACAAAGAAGTGGAATGGTCCAATTAGTTTAACTTTCAAGCATCTACAAAGCAAGAGAGTTTCTAAGAAAATGCAGAGCTATCATGAGTTTAGCCTTAAAAAATCACACCCACCCCTTAACCACACTTCATCTAAAATGAGCTTTCCCACCAAGTAATCTTGGAGATTAGACCCACCTCTTCAAAAAGACCTTATCAAACCCATTATTCCATAACCCATTAATCAAGAAAGAATTCTAAATCAATTCATCATATGGACCAATGTTGCCCAATGTGGCTCCACCATTAAATGGTGATCCAAAATTAGAGACCTTTCAAGCCGAAAACCAGGACTAAATCATCTTAATCACGAAAGCTTATAGAACGCAGAGACTCTAATCGATAATTCGGACCTGTAACATTAGTTAAAGGCTAAGTCACATATAAAGCGGGAGCTGGAGCGAAACCGAATTTGAGAGTGGGAGCGTGAGAGCGGCATAATTAAGTTATAAGTAGGGATAATTTGAGCGAGACAGTGCGCAAAGCGTGAGAGCGACACCTGTTGAGAAAGATTGTGTGATTTAGGTTAAATGACTTTTATGTCATTAAATATGTTTAACTAGAAATCATGGGTCCCACTTGAAATATATGTAATTATGAGTTCGAATATCATTTTTTAAAATTTGTATTATCTTATTATGTTTGTGTCTTGGATGCTTTCCAAAGTCTAATGTGCCCCCTACTAATTAGGTGAGGGTGGTCCTGATCATCCCAGTAGGACCTTCGCACTTTACCTCTTTCAGGTGGACCTTCAAATGCTATAATGGAGGAAATTTGTTGAATATGATAAACTTTCTAACATGTTGCTTGTTCCCTTTAAGCTTTCACTGGAATTAAAGTCGAGGAAAAATGGTTTTAACATGTTTTCAGTGCAAAAGAAATGTTGCTGAAAAGCAAGACACAGAGGAGTATAATGTATTCTGTAATGAGATTAATGAAATATTAACACGCCGTCCAAACATTCCCTTATGCATCTGTGCCGCGCATACAAAAATTTTGCCTGCCTGAAAAGGGAATGCCAGCCTTACTGGCCTTGTTTTTCCTCCAAACAAGGAATACCTAAGCCTTGAAATAATACTTTTAATTAAGAGGCTAGCTGAACATAATCATATAAGCCAGCCTCTAACAGGGCATTTCAGGTATACCGACAGTGGACTTTTTTAGTTAACTATGTTCAGTTCACTAGAAGATTCATGATTAAAGAATGTCCATGGCAAATAAAAGAGAATTATATAAGAATATATTTTTTACACTAATACTTTTTGCGGTTAATCTGTTTGGCTGATTAGTGTGACTCAAATGACTGAATGAGCCTTGTGCTTTAAGCAAAATATGAGTGTATTAGTCATACTAATCAACACCCTGTTCAAGCTGTCCTCAGAAAATTTTGGCTATCAGCATGTGAATATCATCATAATCACCATCATGGTATGAAGTTTTTAGTCTTGTAGATATTGACTTTCGAGTTCAAACATACACCATAATTTATATGCTTCTGTTGGAAAGATTTGTAGTCATTGTAATACAGTACTCTCAAAGTGCTTGCATAACAAACTAGTTGATATTGCAGGATTCGAATAATTGAACATGGGAAATGAGATGGGGAACCAAAACGTAACAGCGCTAAAAGGTATGCTTATTGGAAGGTCTTCTAAATTGTTGCTTACTTGTTGAAACGTGAGTTATATTAGTACTTCAAATTGATATTGTGTTAATGCAGCAGAAGAGAACACTGAAGCTGAAGCTCCGGAAAAATCTTTGCAAGGAGCTGTTATTGCAGATGAAGTAAAGGAAGAAAATCAAATAGTTCCTGCAACTGAAAATAGAGAAGTTCATGAAAAAGTTAGAGAGTTGTCTTCTGATGATCCTTTGGAAGCTGCAGATACTCGTGTGGACAAACAGACATCGGATGGAAGAGGTACGTAATTCATTTTGCAATCAACACGTGGCTTAATCTTCCTTTTACTTGATGATGAATGAACAAGCCAAACAATCATTCTACTTCACATATTAATTTGGCCTTTTTCTTCTATAGAGCAAGGTGACACTGAGCTTATGCTTCCTCAAGTTCCCATAGAGTCAAATGATGAAGTTAGTCAAGAGAGTGGAATCAAAACAACTTCTTCATTCAAAGATGCAGAAGATACTGAGAAGCCAATTGAGTCAAATTTGGATGAGAATCTGTTGGAAACAAGTGATCATCAAACACACAAACAATCTTTCATCAGAACAGGTTAGTTCTATATCTTTTTCTTGCTTCCCGCGAAACTGGTTCTTATTTATTATGTTGAACAATGAGGATTAGTCCTTAACAATTTGTTTAATACAAGTAGAAACCATATAGTTATACAGAACTTTAACATACTTTAAAAACTTGATTTTCTGAATTTAGAAACAGAGGAGGGAGAGAGAAGTGAGACCACTATTGACATGATGTCTGTGGATCAAAAGCTTGATCAGAATGAACTTGTTAAAGTTCATGCTGAAGCACAAGTAGAAGAAGGCAGCTGCTGGCCACAGGATGAGGAGGAAGATATAGGGATGAGCCTTTCATGTGACGAGGAGGACGAAGGTCACTTGTTGGAAACTGAAGCAACAATTAGTCTAGCTGGCATTGTTGCTTCTGATACTGATCTAGATATAGAAAAGATAAATGCTGATTTGCTATTAAAAGGAATGGAACCTGAAGAAGAGAAATCAGTAGGAGCAAGCATCTGCGAAGAGAAATGTGAAATCATAAGGGAAGATGAGCATGATCAGAATGAACTTGTTAAAGTTCATGCTGAAGCACAATTAGAAGAAGGCAGTTGCTGGCCACAGGATGAGGAGGAAGATATAGGAATGATCCTTTCATGTGATGAGGAGGACGAAGGTCACTTGTTGGAAACTGAAGCAACAATTAGTCTAGCTGGAATTGTTGCTTCTGATACTGATCTAGATATAGAAAAGATAAATGCTGATTTGCTAGTAAAAGAAATGGAACCTGAAGAAGAGAAATCAGTAGGAGCAAGCATCTGCGTAGAGAAATGTGAAATTATAAGGGAAGATGAGGTTGGGAATGGTTTGAGCAACGAAACAACTGTGACATCAATTTCTCATGGTGATTTTGGAAGCATGAATGATGGAGAACTTCCTGCTGAGATGATTTTAAGCAGGAATGGTTCCTCAGAAGCCATTTCTCAGTCTAATTCTTTGAATTGCTTCCATGAAGTTGTTCCTGAACCAGATGACAAATGCATAGTTCTCACTGAAGAGGCAAAGTTGATTGGGAGTGGATCAGAAGATGAGGACATTTGTGATCCTAATCCGATTCAGTTTAATGAGCAAGCAATGGAAGACTTGAAGATTGAGAAGTTGGATGCTTCTCAATCTATCTCGTCGCTGGTTGGGTCTAGTAGTGACAGTGGAAGTGAAAATGAGGACAGGTATGATCCTAATCCAATTCAGTTATATGAGCAAGGTATGAATGAATTGGAGGCCATGAAAATGAGTGTTTCGCAATCTGACTCATTGCTGGTTGGGCCTAATAGTGACAATGGAAGGGAAAATGAGGACAGGTATGACCCTAACTTACTTCAGTTTGATGAGAAAACTATGACTCAATTGGAGGATGAGAAAAATGATGCTTCTCAATTTGACTTGTTGCTGGTTTACTCAAATAGTGACAACGAAGGAGCAGACGAGAAAAAGTATGATCCTAACCCTATCCAGATTTATAAGCAAGCCATGAATGAGTTGGAGACTCAGAAAATGGTTGCTTCTCAATCTTGCTCGGCTCTCATTTTGTCCAATCATGATAGTAATGGAAGGGAAATTTTGGCTGATTCTTCTTGCAGGCCTGGAATTGGGGACAGTCAAATCAAGAGAGAAGAGGTGGCTGAGAATGGTTACCAATCTGAATTTTGTGATGACAAGCTGAATTCTGCTTCCGAGCAACAGCTCAAGGATTCAGAAGAAGCAATTGAATTGGTACCTGAAATTGGAACAGTTCCGACAGAATTAACTGTCATGGATTACAAACAAGACAAAGAGCAACCAGCAGAGAATGCAATCATCGATGAAAAAGAGGAGAAAGAAGAGAATTCAGAGAGCATTGGAAGTGATGGAGAAGAAAGCAAAGCAATAGAACAGCATGCATCTCAACCTCAATCAGTGGAAGGCACGGCAAGCTTGCTGTCACCATGTCCTTGTTCTCCACTCGAGCCCCAAGATCACAAGGACACTGTAAAAGAATCTGAGACTGGTGAAAAGAGGACTTCCTCAAGCAGAGATTTGATACAAGAGAGTTGCAGTGAAATATTTGTCAACAAAGCTTCCATTGTTGACTGCACAAACTCAACCGAGAAAACTCTGATCTCTGAATTTGAATTGGAGAAAGAGGAAGCTGCAGGGCAGGATCTTCCACGTTGCTATATCAAAACACCAGTTGCAGAAACTGAAAGTCTGGTGAACCAGTCTACTGATACAATTGCGAGTGTTGGTTGTGGAGCACAAGAAAGAATGGGAAAGCTGGGTATTGAATCCAATCCCGAGAACCCAATCATTCACATTGAGGTTAGAAAAGCTCCAAGCTTTGATTTTGATGTCTCTCTTGGAGCAAGGTGTGAAGAATCTGATCAGACCCCATTACTGCGTCATGACAAGATTGCAACCAGACGGTTCCTGAGCCAGGACAGTTTGGACTTCGGAAACTTAACAACAAAAGCTGAATATGGTGGAGACTTGCTGAAGTATCAAGCAATGCCAGTGGAAGAGAAGACTATTAAAATGGAAAGAAGCGATTCAGAGAAGTTGAAAACTCCATTTCTGAGCATGTTGAAAGGAGATGGACAAACCAATGTTGTGGTTTCACCTAAGAAACAGGATAGTCATGTCTCTATTAAGACTAAGGAAGTGGCAATTACTTCATCAAAAGGGAGTGGGAAGCGAAAGCCAAAAGCTTCCATCTTCAGCACCTGCCTCTGTTGTGCAGCATCAATCCATTGAATCCCATTCAGATTACTTATTTTTTTTCAGTTTCATTGCTTCATTTTTTGGGTTGCTTTTTGGTCCAATTTAAGCTTTCTGAAATGGATTTTTTTTCAAAACCGAGAGTATTGAAATTTTTTCGACTACAAAAAAGTTGCAGCTGTGATTATTCAACGCTTGTAATTTATCCCTATATTTCTTCTGTGTATTAGAATTGCATTTTTTTAGTGGTTTAAGTTGTTAACTGAAACTTTTTATGTAATATATATTTTTGTATTCAATGATTGTTCATTTGAGAAAAGAAGAGTAATGTTTGAAGAAGAATTGTAATTTCAGTGGGTTTTCCACCTTTGATTGTAATATTTGATTATTTATTTGTAGCGATATATTAAAGCCTTATATTTAAGGTTAGTGTCAATAATCTAGTGCTATGTTTAATTGCTGAGTTCATGACATAGATGATGGTTTGCCAGTGGAACTGCTTTTCAGTATTGGAAGTGTGAAGTTGTGGGTTAGATTTTGTTTCGGTCTCGGTCACGTTGCAACTCAGTTTTTAAAAAATTCTCACCGGCTTTCATTTTCTTGTGGGTTGTGCACTTGGTTTCAGAACTCTCTTTTTAGAGTAAGGGATAAGAGAGCGTTCAAACTCACGGTTTAGAAACCAATGGGATTTGAAGGCTAAAACTAATAATCTCTTGTTTTTCACATAATGAAAATTTTTACACGATTCACTAAATCACAATTTTTTTTTATTTTTATTTTTTTATCGATTTGTGTGGTGTGTGAAATTTTGTGATGTCTCTCGTACTTGTTTCACAGCGCTTGTTGCAACGAGAAAAAAAGAATGTATTGAAGAGAGAAAAAAAAAAAAAAAGAGAGACAATCTAAAACAGATTACTTACCACACTTTTTGATATGCTTGATCTTCCATGACTTTGGAACGAGCCATTCAACCTTTATAATAGTAGGGTCACTTTCTTATGGGTTAAAGAAAGTGGTCAGCTCATTGCCACCCAATGTCCCCATATTGTAAAATTATAGACCCTAAGACATAGGGACCATGAGTATGATTGCAGGGTCTTAACAATCCAATTCGAGTGCATGGGCTGGACACATTACTGATGCCTGCTTGCTTTTTAGTTATTTACTTAACAAATGACTTGTAATGTTGTGAGTTGTTATGTATATATATGTTTATGTTATAAAAAAAATAATTATAAAAGAAAAAAAAAAAAAAGTTTGTGGACCCCATCAATATGTTAAACATCAAAAAAAGGGCCTGGCATTTGACCAGATTGTCTTCTCTCTCTCTCTCTCCCTCTCTCTTTCTCGCGTCCAGTAGCTTCCTTCTTCTTCTTCTTCTTCTTCTTCTTCTTCTTCTTTTTTTTTTTTTTTTTTTTTTTTTTTTCTACAATTTCAAACTTGGATTCCTCCTTCCATTTTTAGAATTTTTGAGTGCCAGCAAATCGAAGAGCACGGCGAGATCTACGTGTGAGTACCAGCAATTTCAGTTTTGGTGCACTCTAGGGATTTCAAAATTCTAAGGTTCTTGAGCTCAAATTGGGGGTTTTCATCAAATTTGAGGTAGGGGTGTTTTAATACATGAATTCTTGTATTTTTGTGAATTTCTAGCTTAAAGTGATGCCTAACATGTTTAATTAGTACTAATTCTTGCAAAAATTTGTTTAAAATAATAAGCATGGAATGTATGTGACTATTTATTAATTATTTTAAGGTAATTTAGCATGCTTACATATTTATATGAAATTGAATTTATATTTTACATGCTAGTTATGCAAAGTTAATATTAAATGAGAGCTCCATCATGTAGTTTATAAATTTGCCTTGTATAGTATGTGTGAAAGTTATATGGTTAGGTTTATAAATTGAAGCACAAATATTCATGCATTCATTAGGAAAGAGAGAGGGGGAAAAATATTTTTAGAGCGAACGAAATTATTTTGGAGAAAATATTTTCTAAAAGTGTTGTGAAAATCGGACGCCTAGGCGTCTAGTGGTCCATGATGTTGGTGTAGTCTAGAAGGGGAATGTAATTGAGTTAACTAGGCCGAATGCGACGCCTTGGAAGTGCCTTGTGGTCGTGGATAATTAACCAACCTTACTTTCGTGACCCATTGGAGGTGCCTTGGGTCGGATTACACTAACGGTTTGATTGTTGAAACGGAATTGTTTCAAAAATGGAGAGTGGTATAGGCATAACATTGCATTTCATGGTACATGTGGGAAATTTGTGACTAGATGTTATTTAGGGGGATATAAGAAGTGTCTCTGAAACACTTCCTACTGAGTTTATGCTCACCCCATTATTTTTTTAAAATTTTTCAGAATATGAAAAAGAGGTGGCGGACGACGATCCACCACAAGTTTAGACGAGTTTGGGGATCTATTTTATTTTTGCTATCTTTTGTATTCGAATTATAATATTTTATAAATGTAATCTTAACTATTTTGTGAAACTTTAGTTTAATTGGTATAATGTTGTAAGTTATGGACTTTTAAATTCTAACTACATTTTATGGACTATAACTTGATATAACTTAAGTGTGTTTCTTGTTTGGATGAGATGGAGGAACATGACTTTTTGTATGTATGTAGTCATTTTGGAAATGTGATATAATATCTGTATTGTGCGTTAGGACATGATATGTTATTTTTAAAGCTCAGTGAGGCCATTGCATTTTTTTTTTTTTATATTTCAACAAATTGTAGAGGGACTTTTTCTGCGAAAGTCATGGCGAAATTTTATATATTTTATTATTATTATTTTGATAACTTTTGGGTCGTTACATGACTACTGTCAGGCTTCACTTGGAAGTTTCAGGCAGACAACACATGACAGATCAAAGTGCTAAGAAGGACATCTGAATGGAAGAATGAAGTTATAGAGTCATTCATATTTACGTAAAGAAATATCGAGTGTTGGAGGGAGTTTGGAAGTGGAGGGTTTCTATATATGTGTAGAGTGTAGACAAGATTCTGTAAGTCTGATATTTATAATTTGATCCGATAAATAAGTGTTTAAGTTCATTTGTAATCACCACCAACAAGCTTTGAGAGTGATAGGATGCCTGTAATTTGGTTAGAATTTGATCTGTAATAAAAAATTTCAGACGATAAGAATAAATGACCATAAATAAGTGAGAAGTTTATTTGTTACAAAATTGAAGAAAGAGAATAAAATTTCAAAAATGAGATACCTAGATATAGGTAGAAAATAACATTTATGTTTAAAATAATGAATGTGGGATTATTGATGTACAGGAAGCAAAACATTCCTAAAGCAAAATTGAATAAGTTTTATTTATTTTTTATATTTAATTTAAATTTTTTTCAAAAGTTTGAAGTAACAAATACGTAAGTAAAGAAGGTACAGAGTGGGCTGGGTTGAGCACAACCCCAATTAAATAAAAAGAAAACCAACCAATAAACGGTTGTGACCAACAAGCAAAAGGATATAATTTAGGAAAAGAAAAGAAATGGAGGGGATTCATAAGAAAATAATTTAGGCATCATGTGTAGGGATGGCAAAATACTCATCCTATCCTGTCCTGTTTAGAACGGTTATGGGTGATGAGATGGTTTTGAGACGAGAATGGAGGTGATAAAATGGTTTTGACTCTTTCGAGGCAGGAATGGGAGTTAGGGTTGAAAATTCGTATGGTTATGGGGCGGAAATGGAAAAGATCACCCGGCTACCAGGCCCGGTCCCACCAATATAGTGATAAGTTACAATTTTGTCCTTATACCTTATTTTATATTTAATAATATTAAGTATATATTAAGCAAATTCAATTTTATTTTATTTCAATCACTAAATATTCTTTTATATTATTTTTATTTGAGAATTTCTCTGTATCATTTTGATGTTCTGACAATAATTTTAGTCTTAAGTTTCAATTGAAAAGTTAAATTTGTTTTTATTTGCATAAGAGGGAAATATATATATATATATATATATATATATATATATATATATATATAATCATAGTTAAATTTTGTTTTATTATTTACTTTCGGCCTGCCCACCCCCCGCGCGTCCCGACTCACCCCGCCCCTTTTAATGAACGGTTTTTGGGCGGGGATGGGATATCTATCCTAAATGGGAATGGAAATGAGGATGACATTCCCCGCTCCAAACGTCTCCATTGTCATCCTTAATCATGTATTGGTTTTATTATTATCTCAAAAATAGGAGGAAATGAAGGAAAAGGAAAGAAAAATCTAACCTTTTAATGAAACTCTTTATTAATATCAATTTTCCTTTTATTTTTATAAAAAAAAAAAAATTCTATAGAAAATAGTACTGTAGTAAATTAATTAAAATAGTTTTCAATCATTTCTTTTCCTGAATATGATTATTATTATTTCATTTCATTTTTTTTTTTTAATCAACTCATTTTCATTCTTTCCTAAAGCATCCTAACTAATGTTTATTTATTTATTTTTCTTTTCGGCTATACCATATATAGGCTTAAAGTGATAACATAATTTTACTTATGCGGCTAAAATTACTTGGTCAAAGTGGTTTGTATAAAATAAATACAATATTAAAATCTCAACATGTCTTATAATCAAATTTAAAACTTATATTTCATTTTAGGCCGATTACAAAGGCAGATCGATCTGCCGAGTGGAGAGCGTCCAACAAAAGGAAGAACCATGGGATTGAATTTTGATAAAAAATTTAGTTCTTCACAATTTTATCAAATTTTATCTTTTTTTATATATTATGAGTTGGTAGAGCGTCAGTTCTTCGAGCGGATATGTCCATATTCAAATTCTTCTTTCTTAATTTGTCAAAAAAAAAACTTAAACATGAATTAAATCCAAAATTACTTACTGTTTTGAAAATATTGTAAAAATTAATAAGCCTACCCTCAAATAATTATTTCCAATTCAACGAATTAAAGCAAACAAACCCTGAATAAATGTCCCTCATCTACTACTAAATGTTGTGAGTTGTCCAATCATTAATGGTAGGACATGAGCATAATAATTGGTGACATTTATGGAATATGGACCAACACTTGAACAAATACATTGAGCATTTACTTCTCGTCGGTGAGGTATGGTGGATTGTTCGTACTCCAAAGTACCTTGTAATTGTGTTGAATTTTTCAACAGGTTACTTCAGCAAAGAGTGTGACAGGGACTCTAAATAAATGTTTCTTTAAAGAGTTTATAATTCCAGAAGACCCTAGATAATGAAAGAAGATATTTTTTTGCAAATATATATATATATATATATATATATATGTATATTTTACTTATTCTTGATGACCAAAGATAACTAAAGAGAAGTCAATTGGAATAGGTAGCCTAATGAATAAGGAGTTTTTTTGGAAAAATAATAAATTTGAACGTGAAAATGACTAATGTTGATTATTGGTAACAAAAATAAATAAATAAAGGAGTGAAGGAGATCCTTGCAATTTATATGTGTAGGGTAGTAAATCACAAATAATTAAAATCACAATAAAAATAAAAACATTTTGTACAGAATATCTTTTATTTATTTATATATTTATGTGTATTACTAATAGTTGTATAAAAAATCAAGAACATTGTAATCTAATGATATTTTCTCTACTTTATAAAGTGGAATGAAGGCGATATAGGAAAAAATGCATGTGTGAGATTTGTGCACAAAAAAACGTATACAAAAAGTATTTAAAAATACCCACTTAAGATCTTATGACCATTAAAATGTTGAGTATATATTTTATACACTCCTAGTGACCAATATACTTTTTTTTTTTTTTTACCAAAATGTTTTTCTTATATATATATTTTTAGTTTAACTATATGACAACCTACTCTGTTTTTCGCCTCAATTAATTTCCATTCAAAGGCCTCATTTTCCATCCTAAAAGTCCCTACCATTGATCCTTAGTCCAAGTCAAAAATAAAACCAGAAATTGAGAGTTCAACGCAACCTAACGCGTTGAGTTGTTGAAAATATATATTGTAAATAATGGCATTGGGGTCACCTGTTAAAGCTCAACGGTGACGCTTTCCACAGGGACACTTTAAAACTTGATTGTTGTCCAAAAAAAAAAAAATAAATAAATAAAAAAAAATAAAAATAAAAATAAATACACACACACTCATAATGGACCAAATCATATACAGATTAGCTTCATAATTACATACCATCAATAAGTCATTGTCAGTGACCGGACTCAAAAAAATTTGTGAGAGGGGGCCACCTTTTTATTTGTGAAGGCAAATTTATATAGCGAGTCTATTTTTATAATTTCAATAGAGTTTTATTCATAAATTTTAAAAAATGTAAAGTATAAAATGCAAAAAAAAAAAAAAAAAAAAAAAAAAAAAAAAAAAAAAAAAATGGGATGAATTGTAATTTTAGTGGAGCCATCTTCATAAATTCTCAAAAATTTAAAGTATAAAATAATCAAAAATAATAATTCAATGGGGGGCGAATTATAATTTTAGTGGGGGCATTTTCATAAATTTTAAAAAATTTAAAATATAAAATAAAAATATTAAAAATTAAGTGGGGAGGATGCCCCATTAATACTATGTTAGGTCTGTGCTTGATTCGTTGTATATATAAGAGTGTGGGTGTATATTATATAAGCAGACAAACATTTATACATGTTTTTAAAGTTAAAATTTGAATGAGTCGTCGTATATAAAAGTGCAGGGGTGTGGTATATATAAGCACACAAACATTCATAAGTTAAAATTTGAGGAAAATGCATCACAACTTTTTAACTAGTCTTAAGTTACGGTGAAATTACTATAAAGTTTCGAATGGCCGGGACTGAAAGGGACAGAACCCAAATCTCAAGTTGAAATTGTCCAAATTGGTCTCACACAATAGATGTGTATTATCAACCCTCTATATATATATATATATATATATATATACAAATATATATATATATATATTATGGTTGAAGTTCGAGAGTTATAAAGCTTTAAAATTAGTGTAACTTGCCTCATTAAGGGTGTTATTTATTTTCTTTTTTCTTTTTTTCGGAGTAATTATTTTGACCAGACATATAATCAAGGGCGGATCCAGCCTTTTGAAATGGGGTGGGCTAATTTTGGGCTGGGCTAACTTTGGACTGGACTACCATTATTATTTTCTCTTTTTTTGGGTTGGGCTTAAAGTAGTATGGTAAATTTTTTTTTTTTTTTGTTTGGGTGGGCTGAAGCCCAGCTTTGCCCACCCTTGAATCCGCCCTTGCATATAGTATAGAAATTATTACAAATAGATGGACTTATAGACTTATATTTATCATTTAAAAGAGTCAACGTCATGACCTTTTTTTTTAAAAAAAGAAAAGAAATTGACTAAAATGCTAAGGTCGATATCAAAAAAATATTGTTAATTGTCCAAACTATTTTTACTATTTTCATATACCACTCTTGTACATTAATGTACCACTTTTTGTATACATAAATGTCACTTGTCGTACATGCTCAAAAAGTGATATTTGATGACATGGTCTATACTTACTGATATAAAAATGGTACTTACCTGCACAAAATTAGTACTTACGTACATAGCATATAAATAACCACTTTTCTAATACGTAAACATTTTGATTACTTGACTCTGTCAAATGATATAACAATTCCTATAATAAACCAAAGTCAAAATTTGGAGAAGGTACCCTGGTCATCTTTTGAATCCTCAAAGGACCAAAAAAAAAAAAAAAAAAAAAAATCTCATACATCATGTCTAAAACATGTTATTCAAAACATAAAATTCTTGCTGATAAAAACTTAAATTACACTAAAAAAATGTGAACAAAATGGTACTTATCTGCACAAAATTAATACTTACGTACATAAAAATTTATGCATATAAATAACCACTTTTTTAATACGTAAATATTTTGATTACTTGACTCTGTCAAATGATATAACAATTCCTATTATAAACCAAAGTCAAAATTTGGAGAAGGTACCCTGGTCATCTTTTGAATCCTCAAAGGACCACAAAAAAAAAAAAAAAAAAAAAAAAAATCTCATACATCATGTCTAAAACATGTTATTCAAAACATAAAATTCTTGTTGATAAAAAATAAAATTACACTAAAAAATGTGAACAAAATGGTACTTATCTGCACAAAATTAATACTTACGTACATAAAAAGTGATGCATATAAATAATCACTTTTCTAATACGTAAGCATTTTGATTACTTGACTCTGTCAAATGATATAACAATTCCTATAATAAACCAAAGTCAAAATTTGGAGAAGGTACCCTGGTAATCTTTTGAATCCTCAAAGGACCACAAAAAAAAAAAAAAACAGAAAAAAAAAAAAAAAAATCTCATACGTCATGTCTAAAACATGTTATTCAAAACATAAAATTCTTGTTGATAAAAACTTAAATTACACTAAAAATTGTGAGCATTTTAAACAATTTAGTCTTTAATATGGTACTAGAGGATAAATAATAAACCCTATTTGACAAGGAATTCATTGACTAGAATCATCCCGCGACAAACACAAAGTTACCAGATTTATTTTGTCATTTAATTTTTAACCAATACAGCCATTGAAAGAATAGAATCAAGAAGACAAATACAGCAAGGAAAATTTCTAAGTTATATATTTTTTTTCCTGGAGATTACATTAATTAATTGGTTAAACAATTAAAAGACAAACAAATTGGAATATGATTATATTCGATGTTATCAATCGAAAAGCTTGTGATTAGACAGTCATCATCATCTTCACGAATTCATCATAGTTAACTTGACCATCACCATCCAAATCAGCCTCCCTGATCATCTGTTCGACCTCATCGTCCGTTAGTTTTTCACCTAGATTGATCATCACGTGCCTCAGCTGCACAGGATCAAATCAACAGTATTATAATTAAATAAGATATTAGTAAGATAATTACAGAATCTTTTGTGTTGTGACAATTAAAAAAGTCAAAATACAAAGTACACAGAGTCTGGTTAAAATTGGGTACTGTTCATTGCATGAGAAATTAATGGCTATTGCTGTACAGAGATGCAAAGTGAAACAGCTGTAAAAAAACACATTTAAAAATAATATGACAGCTCATTTAACATTTGAATCCTTTTATTAAACAAATGAGGGATGTTTGAATCTTGAGATCAAACGAAGCAGAGTTTCTCAGGCCTATTCTTTTTAACACCAATATAATTTTTCATAAATACCAAAACAGTCATTGTGCATGCAAACGTAAGACTACATATATTTGATTATTTATATACTCGATAATTTCGAAAGTCCTTGTATATATACTGGCCAGCTCTTTTATCAATTTTCATAAATAACTTCAACCTATATTTTTTATAATTATATTTTTCCACATATTGTAAATATGTTTCAACGTTAATAATAAAATTAATGATAATCAATTTTGTTGTTTGAATATATATATATATATAGTTAGAGGTTAGCTCACCTCATTAGCTGATATATAACCATTTTGATCCTTGTCAAACACTTTGAAAGCTTCTTTAAGCTCTTCCTCTGCATCAGTCTCCTATTAAGTAAATGAAAACATATCTATCACTAAGTGGAGAAATACAAGAAAAAGATAAAATTAAATAAGTTGGAAATATTTCAAATATGCCATATGTATATATATATATATATATATATATATATTTGAATGAATTAAAAAATGAAATATGTTATATGTTGTACCTTCATTTTGTTAGCCATGAGGTTCAAGAACTCAGCGAACTCTATGGTACCATTACCATCGACATCGACTTCGCTTATCATGTCTTGAAGCTCTTCCTCCGTTGGATTTTGATCCAATGACCGGATCACCGTTGCCAATTCTTCCACAGTGATGCAACCTATACATTCATCATTCTATGAATAAGCCATACAGTGTTCTCTGTATAGACTTGTGTGTGTGTGTGTGTTTGTGTGTGTAGAGAGAATAATTTTTCAACTCTTTAGGCCTAGAACAAAAAGAATAAGGAAAACCCATTACTCATAAACTAAGGTTAATTGAAGGCTAAGAATAATCCAAAAATAACTAATTACAGTATATATATATATATATATATATATATATATAGGAAATAGCTAGGAAAGAGAAGAAAATCTCACCATCTCCATCCTTGTCAAACAAACTGAAAGCCTCTTGGAACTCCACAATTTGTTCTTCGTTTAGCTTATCTGCCATGGTGGTTTCCTAGAAAAACCTCAAAGACACTAGAGCAAACCTCAAAGTTAGAGAGAGAGAGAGAGAGAGAGAAGAGAGAGAGAGTGAGTTGAGTAAAGCTCAATCCTCGCTGGGCTTTATGTAGAAATCTAATATGATAAGAGGATAGTAAATGCTCCTCCAATTTTTTTTAATTTAAAATTCAAAATTAATAGGAGTCAAACAGAGCTTTTGTGATAAATAATAGAATTGGGTATTATAATATATAATTACTACTATTATTGGTCATATCCAAAGATAAATCGAATACTACGGGGCTAACTAGTAGATGTTTTTTTTGGACTTATTAAAATAAAAAAAAATAAAAAGTGTCAAATTAATTAAGCTTATGACTTTGGAAAAGTATCTCTCTCTAGAGGCCGCGGCTAAGACCATGACCGTCCAATCTTACTTTCTCCATCTCTGAATTATTTAATTTTCATATATCTGTTATATATTTGTATATGTAATACGTGCCCAATGTATAGTTTGGGTTACATTGTATATGTATATATCTGTATGCGTAATATTTAGTAAATATATAATAATTATTATTAATATAATGAAATTGTACAGCTGTACGGTTTGATGTTTAGGAGACACAGAGAGAGAACAGGGGAGGTGTGAACTCTCTTCTTTACTAACCAAAATTTCAACCCCAAACAGCACGCCCCGTTTCTTGCACGAGAGGCTAGCATTTGCATACTAAACATTGACATTTTCTTAAGACGCGTGGATAGTTTTACTAAATCCTTCTTTTTTTTCTTTTTCTTTATTTTTTTTTAAAATTAATAAAAAAAATAGAAAAAAAAAAGGAAGGGAGGTTAATTACGACGATACCATATTTCTTACACATGTGATAGTTTTAATTTTTTAAAAATTATTTTAAACAATTGAACCAAACATGCCTTTAGTAAACATCAAATATTGTTTTTGGTGTATTCCCAAATTTACAATTTATATTTAAATTTAACGAAAAATTATTATCAAGAAATTCTCATTCAGAATTAAATCACAATATATACCACTTTGGTATGGCGATTATATGTGGGAATTGGCATGTAAAGCTTCTCATAATGTTGGGTCAATGAATGCTGTTGTGGACACGGACGGATTGGACCGTAACATCATTTTCAAAATCACATCAAACAGAATTTTGTTAGCCAATTAGACCAAACACAACATCGATAGTTTTTCCACTACTAATAAAATGGATTGGATTGATATAGACCAAGAGTAGGGAAAAGAAGAGAGAAACAAAAATGCCATATTTTTCAACGTCACAAACTGTCAATTTGGTGCTCTAGGAGATAAATAACACTAATCAATAATATGCTGGACTATAGACTATACTTAGTAGTCGATCCATCGTGTGAGAGTTTGAAATCCAACCTGAGTAATATACAATTGATTAATTGAAAGCTGAAGTTGAACATTTTACCCTGAGGTCCAAGCTTGAATAGTTTACTAGACCTAAGCTAAGTCACAGTTTAATCTCTTATTTTATATATATATATATATATATATGTGCACGCGCGTACATTCAAAGTGTAATTATATTTGCATATGAGGAAATTGTTTGTTGTCTGGTGAAATTTTTATTGTCCGAGAGAAAATATTTATATTGTACAAAAGAATTACTCTGTATAAAAGATACTTTTCTAAAATTAGGTATGAGTTTTTAAAAAAATCTGAACCAAACACAATTTTTGTACCGCAATTCTCTAAAATAAAAAAATTATTTTATAAGTGACAAACAAAATAAGCTTGAAAGGCTCCTTTTGTATTAGCATGTGCATCTACATTAAACATTATTTCAGACACATATGAAAATACAATGGCCTAACTTAAACAACTAAAAGTCTTAGATTTAGGTTAAATGGCTTTTATGAAAATGGGTGTTTGATCTCTGAGCAACTCTGCAAACCCTAGGAGATATATATATATATATATATATATATATATCATCAGACATTAATGTGGTTAGCTGTCCACGCGGTTTCTCTTAATGCTATAAGCTCGAACACCGAGTAGGAGGTTAATATGCAAGTCACACCTCAAAATTTTAATTTAATGTAGTGTATGCTACAAGTCTACAAAAGTTCTAGTAGTAGTACTGTACTCTTTGCTCATTCAGAAATTCTACTTGGTCTTGGTCCTCATATTGGACTTTCAACCTTTAGAAGAAAAAAAAAAAAAAAAAAAAAAAAAATTGTAGAAGAATTAATTGACTGGCTTGAAACGTTGAAAGTGAGTCCAAGGCCCAATGCTAGCTTGAGTATCTCTTGGGCTATGGAAATTGGAGAATTTTGGGTTGATCTAACCTAGCAATGGCATGCACCCATTGTAAGATATTGTCATACCAGTTAGCCATTCTCCACCACACACACACAGCATCTAGCTTATAGGTAAGCAATTCCAGACTAGTTTTATTCATAGTCACTTTATGGAGGTGGGCCGAGCAACATTACTCTCTGTATGTAGTTGGTAACCTATCGTTTTCTGTCTTGTTTACATGAATGTCCAGCTGGAACCTTTGACCACATCTCGTAATTCCAAAGCTACCGAAGTATGATCTTTTCCATGGGAGAGAGAGAGAGAGAGAGGCCTTGTCATTTAATAACATCTTTAAAGAGATAAGAATCATATGACAAAATAGAAGAAATTTTTTAACTAATCCATGTTTCTTTGACCTGAATGTCTAATTAAAATTGTTTCATTAATAGGTAAGGAAAGCCCATTCCATCTACCTAAAATCATAGACCAAGTAACCAACATTCTACATGTGAATCATGTCATCAATGTGAAAGCGTGCATTCACATCCCTCTCTCCTTTACTATTGCAATAATATGGAGAAAAACAATGACAGATTCTTCAAATTTAAAAATAAGATGTATATACGAAGCGGTTGTCTCACCTCGTAATATCATCGTGATTCATAACATTATCATGACATTGGTGATATGATCCACACCCCAGTAACATTTTTCTCATTAAGAAATCTCCGAATTTAAAAGATGTATCTATATTCTTTACACAATTCAAGTGACATGACACCCATACTGATATTGATCCTATTTAAACTCAAAAGCCAAACTTAAATTGTTTATTTCTTTCTCTCATAACAAAGGAAGATTAGATTTTCTCATGAAAAAGAAAAATCATTGTCCACCCATAATCATAAGCAGAGGTGGGTTGCTTATTGTACCAAAAGCAATCAAAAGTTAAACCAGCACACCATAGACTTGAGAGACCAAATGGCAATGGTTTACAAAATCAGAACATTAAGCATAGGCATTAGGGTAATATTTGCTTGTCATCTTAGAGACAGTTCCACCATTAGGACACGGCTCAAGCTTAACCTCATAAGAAATCGATTCAATCTGCTTGTCCATCGACGCATCACCTTCAATCAAAGTATAATTGTAAGTGAACGTCTCTTCGTTGAGCTCATCAATTCGGTACTTCAAATGATTCAAAGTGCTACTTGTGCATTAGAAGATACACCCATATATGACATATTACAAAATATACATGTTATGATTCAGGAAAAAAACAAAAGATGTTACATTATGTAAAACATGGACCAGTTTTCACTTTGATCATCATATATGATTTTGAGTGCCGTTTGAGGCGAAACGGAGAGCACGGCGAGCTCTACGTGTTGATATCAACAATTTCAGTTTTGAGTCTCCCCTTGGCCTTCGAAAATTTGAACCCATTTTAAGGGTTTTGCTCTAAATCAAGGTAGGGGTTCTTAATCCACGAAGTTCTTGCGCTTTAGTGAATTAATCTACTTGAATTGTGCCTTAGCATGCTTAATTGCTTTGATTTTAGTTTAAAATGACTTAATTAAGAATATGTGAATTTATGTGAATGTGTGTTAAATTGATTGAATAAAAGCATGCTATATGTTGAGTTTTGTGTTCATTGTGTTACCAATATACTATGAATGATGTATGAAGGATATGCCTAAGTGTTGAATTTATAATTCCATTATGCTATATTTCTATTGTGTAAAAGCATGTTGTATACTCTTTGGAGAATTCTTGTGAATGTATGCCTTGATGACTAAATTTGAGCTAGTTGTGAGATAATAATTATGCACATGACATTAGTGCATTTATGCATACCATTGGGTTTGCATGAAATGGGAGAAATTGCTTTTGAAACAAAAATGGGAAATTTTGGGAAAGAATGTATTGATACAAGTATTTTGATAAAACTCGGTCGCTGCGGTGTCACCAACGGGCCGGTAGGTTAATGTAACCTAGAGGGAACTAGGGAGATTGCCCTAGCGTGGTTGAGCTATCTGGGCCCCATAATGACGCTGCGGAGTCACCAAAGGTCAGGGACAGTAGCTAATCCTTCTCTCGGCGTTGCGGAGTCACCAAAGGGGGTTACATTAACAATTTGGAAAGTGATGGATGAACGGTTTTGAAAATGGGGAGTGACATTGATATGCATTACATTCCATTGCATTATATTGTTAATGTTGAGCTCGGATATGATGTTGTATTTTCCCAATTTTGTATGACCTCGATTCCTATCGCTCCTATCGCTCTATTCTTTGCTTGGATTCACGGGGATACAAAAGATGTGTCGTAAGTGTCACCTACTGAGCATATTGCTCACCCCATCATATTCTACATTTTTCAGGTCATGGAAAAGAAGTAGCCGACGGTAATCCAACTTAGCCTTAGCTTGGAGTAGAGAAATGCCCTTTTTCATATCTTTTGTAAATGAACCTAATTTTGTAAAAGATTAACTCAGGTGTATTATTTTGCAATGTGTGATGTATTGAGATTCATTGTGTATATGGTTATTTGAGATAATATAATTAAGTTTTACTCACTTAAAATCAGTTTGTATATTTTAAGTAACGTGTGGTAAATTACGTTAACAACGTGGTTGTTATTATTGCAATTTAGTGTTGAAATGTATTTAAAATTACACGTAAGTGTAGTGGCATGGGTGGTTGAATTACCAAAGTTGGTGTATTTGGGTTATCACTGGACAATGGGAAAAGAAGTGAGGGTTCCCCAGAACCAGTCGACGTGTGGCTTCCCATACGTTGACCGGTATCTTCATAGTGTGAGTCATTGTGGCTCACGTTGCAAACCAGTCGATGTATGACTTCCCATATGTATACCGGTATCACGTCCCAAACCAGTCGACGTATAGTGTACATACGTCGACCAGTTTCAGCCTTTTAATTAAACTAAATTTTAGTTTCCCAAATTACACTTTGGCACCCAATAAATGTTACACGTATTTATTTTATGGCCCAATAAAGTGCAATAATTATATTTTAACCACCGAAAGGACTATATTGCCCCGAACTTTATTTTAGTTATTATGTGACCCAAGTTAATGACCATTATACCCTTTGAGTCTCAAATTATTGAATTGTGGCAATTTACCATTTTGTCCTTTTTGGACCATGATATTTAAATATAATATGAAATTACCGTATTACCCATGGATGATTTTGGGTCGGGAAATGACCTGTTTAATGATCCGGATCCATGAGGAGTTGGGTCGTTACAGAATGGTATCAGAGCGATGGTTCGAAAACCTTAGGACGACGGGTAAAGGCCTATGTAGGATTGTATAGGAAGTTGTTTGCATTGCGTATGAGATTATTTGTTACGTGTTTTGATATTTAAAGAAGCATGCTAAAGTGTTTATTTGCCTATATGTTACATGTTTAAATATTTAAGCAGTATGCTTACTTGTTTACTTACTTACCTGTTTAATTGCCTACGTGTTAATTTGCTTACGTGAACACATGCTTATATGTTATATGTGTGTAGCACTAGCTTAAATGATCCATGAATTGGTGTTTTGTTTTCAATATGTAATTGTTTAGTAGGCACGTTTTTATTTTGTATTAGCTTTGTGAGTTTTCCTTTATGACGGAAAAGGTATCAACATTGTGAGTAAGGGAGATGTGAATAGCATGATCTATCGAGTCCGGTTTGATTTAGACGCGTTGTTCCATTAGGAATCCTTTCCCTAGAAACTAGTAATGGTAGAAGAGTTTGATCTTAGGTGTCTTCTGGGATGGAAGTTCCCATTTTCTTGCACAGGCAAGAGTTTGACTTGTGTTATCTCGGTGTGGTGAGGGGACTCTTAGGGTGATGAATCAATAGAGCATGGTGCGTGAGTTAGGGGATTCTTACACGTAAGCAAAGTTGATTAGACGTCATAGGATGCGAGGTGGAATGTAGTGTATGATTTGTAAGGTTCAAGTGTTGTACGGGTTGAGCAAGGTTGGTATTTGGTTCTTATTTAAAAGTTCACTGATATTTAAGGTTGAGAGTTGACCTCTTAGATTTTCGTTTATAGAGTATGAGTTAAGGTTGATCTTGAGTTAGTGACGAGATGAGTAAGTGGCATCTTTTATTTTGATTTCCAGTAAGGAAGACAAAAGTTTGGTGTGATGTGGTTTGGTGACCATAGAATATTGGTCACAGATTGTGTTGAGCCAGGATGAGGAGTAACCTCTTAGGCTTGATGGCCTGTTCTATTTGATTTCTTTGTTTTGTGGCTCTGTGGGCGGGTGTGCGTGAGCGTATACAGGTGGCACCAGAAGGCTACCACACTGAGTGAACTATAGGCACACAACTCAGATGAAATCGATGTGGACATTTCGTTGTATTGGATAGGTTAGTTGTAGGTGTGACTTGAGTGTCCAGTTATATACCAATTAGAGAGACCACTGGTTGTAGTTGTTGTAGACTGTAGCTTATGTGGTTGACCGTTTGGCTTGGCGTTGTTGTCCCTCTTAGGGATTGTTCATGTAGCGTTACCGCGTGGGATTTTTAATTTTCTTATTGCGAGTTGCTGACTATGGTGTCGAGTATCAAAAGTGAGGTGTGTTTTCATGTCAGGTTAATGTCACTTTTGAAGGAGCGATTGGTAGTGGATGTTTGTTGTTTATAAGGGAGTGGAATTGTGAAGTTATTTTGGGAATAATGATCATGAGGTATTAGTACTTGAAGTTCCTGTAATTAAAGAGTAAGTCAGTTTTGGAGTGAACCCAGTGTCCAGGAAAACAGTAGCGATTGATCGCATTATTGATGGTTTTAAGGAGACAGTTGGGTGTTGAGCATTTTGGATTCTTATGCTCATTTTGGTTGAGGATTTGTTGGCATGGTATTGACGCGTGGATGTTCTTTTCTAGTGGTAAATGGTGGTTGTTACGGGGAGCAGTAAGCGTTGTGCTTGTTCTTTGGTTACGATGATATTATCTTGAGGATGTCTAGGAAAAATCTTTTAGTAGTGACTTGATGGTCTGATGGAATAATAGGTTTGAACGGTTGTTGGAATGAGTGACAGTGGAGGTGTTATGATGTCATGGTGTGATATTTAGTGTTGATGAACTCAAATAACACAAGGAGCACAATTACATTATAATTACAAAGAACTACAACAATAACAAGTTAAGTAATTAAAATTTAGCATGCTTAGAATCAAATTTAAGGGGAAAAATTCACCAAAGGCCAAGAAATTGTAAATTAGAACACCCCTACCTCAAATTGATGAAAACCCTCAATTTGAGCCCAAGAACCCTAGAATTTTGAACTCATTGGAGTGCACCAAATGATGATTGGTTCCTATCAAATTGACGGCCTCGACGAGCTCAACAATTTTGCTTCACAATGTTCTACCAAATTCCCAAAGGAAAAAGCAATATCAAGGTTTGAATGGTGAAAGCAAAAAATAAAACAAATGGTCCAGAGAGAGAACTTGGAAACTGCCGAGAGAGAGCATCTGTAATGGCCTTATGGCCTTTTTGATGTTTTAAATAGTGGTGGGGCCCACTTGTTTTATTTCTTTTTCTTTTAACCTTAATTATATATATAGACATATATATCACAACATCACACATAGAGCAAGTTACCAACATTCTACATGTGAATCATGCCCCCAAATAGAGCATTCACATCACTCTCCTCTACTATTGCAATAATATGGACTAGAACATACAATCTCCAAATTCGAAAATACAAATAAGGTGCATGTACGAAGCCGCCGTGAGTCTTACCTCATAACATCGTCATTGGTCATGGAACCCACACCCTTCTTACATCCCTCCCATTTGAAAACCTTCAAATTTCGAAAATGTATCTTTATTCTATGCACTGTTAAAGTGACATGACAACCATACTGATATTGATCTTATTTAAACTCAAAAACCAAACTTCAATTGTTTATTTCTTTCTCTCATAACAAAGGAAGATTAGGTTTTCTCATGAAAAAGAAAAATCATTGTCCACCCATAATTATAAGCAGAGAGGTGGGTTGCTTAATGTACCAAAAGCAATCAGAGGTTAAACCAGCACACCATAGACTTGAGAGACCAAATGGCATTGGTTTACAAAATCAAAACATTAAGCATAGGCATTAGGATTTTGCAGGAGGAAGGCTTCGACAGCCTCGTACATTCCCATGGCCTTGTCCTTGCCAGCCTTAATGACCTCTTCTGAGAGCTCAACATCACCCTTGGTGTAATATTTGCTGGTCATCTTAGAGACAGTTCCACCATTAGGACACGGCTCAAGCTTAACCTCATAAGAAATATATTCAATCTGCTTGTCCATCGACGCATCACCTTCAATCAAAGTATAATTGTAAGTGAACGTCTCTTCGTTGAGCTCATAAATTCGGTACTTCAAATGATTCAAAGTGCTACCTGTGCATTAGAAGAAACACCCATATATGACATAATATGCCAAGTAGCTGGCAACTGCCTGAACTCAGCCGACTAGATTTCAGACTTCAACTATAGCAGATTGAGTCCATTTTTTAAATGTAATTCGTCATCATCTTCTTCTTCTTCTTCTTTTTCTCCAAATTTTTTTTTTTTTTTGGTCGGACTATAATTATGTTCTGTTCTGCTGATTGTGAACATTCAAAATGCATCTTTTGAAGATGAGCCTCTGATAAAGGATATTCAAGCTTTATATGTCAGTATGATTTCTTTTTTTATTTTCTTGTTCCAGAACCAAAAAAAATTATATAAATATATTTTAAGAAATATCACTTGACATGAACAATTTTCACCCTTTGTGTGTGTTTCTAACACTAAATCAGCACACTGAATAGAGCCCTATTTCACAACAAACATTTGTGTGTGTGTGTGTTTTTTTTTTTTTGTTTTTTTTTTCGGGAATTTTAAGCAACAAACATGCAGTTCTGTAAGTGAAAACTAATTGGATCCAGGGCCCCAACATATAACAAATGCGATCTGGTAACACCTAGAAGTCTACAAGTCCTGTTCCACTATTGCAATTAAATTTCCTGGGCAGTTAGCAAGTGTTGAAGTTGATACTACTACTACCTCCGTCCCAACGCATATTTTAAAACGCATACACTTCAGAAACACTTCAGAAGTGGATCTCTTCAAGTTTTGTACTTTGAGTTTCTATATATCACCATGTCAAAGAATTAAGATGGCCAACATGTTTATTCCAACTCAAATCATAGAGCAAGTAAATAATATTCTTGTATATCATCTCCGTTCGGATTCTTCGCATGAAATATTGCTGATTGACTTGTATTTAAGCGATTGAATGCACTTATCAGTGAGTACAAAAATGTACTTAAGTTTGTTCATGGTACAGACTTTAACTCAGATCCTTGAAATGCTACTGCTAATTTGAAGGTTCATTCCCACGCCCTTCCTCTAGTACTTCAATAATATAGCTTGACATGACTATCAAACTGTTAATGAACTTGTTTAAACTCTAACGCCGAACTTCACTTATTTATTTCTTTTTCCTATGACAAAGGTAGAGATTTTCTCGTGACAAAGAAAAATCATTATCCATTTATTGTACCAAAAGCTTAAAAAAAAAAAAGTTGCAAAAGCACAACATAGACTTGGGGACCAATTGAGATTGGTTTACAAAATAAGAACATTAAGCATAGGCATCGGGGTTTTGCAAGAGGTATGTTTCGACAGCCTTGTACATTCCCATGGCCCTTTCCTTGCCAGCCTTAATGACCTCTTCTGAGAGCTCACCATCACCCTTGGTGTAATATTTGCTTGTCATCTTAGAGATAGTTCCACCATTAAGAGCCGGCTCAAGCTTAACCTCATAAACAATTGATTCAATCTGCTTCTCCATTAAGGGATCAGCTTCAATTAGAGTATAGTTGTAAGTGAACGTCTCTTCACTAAGCTCATCAATTCGGAACTTCAAATAATTCAAAGTGCTCCCTGCATGAAACACACCCACGAAATACACGTTCTATTATGTATAACATTAGCAAGATTTCAGCTTGATCATTATATATGATTTTCTGAAGTAGCGAATGCTATGCATGTGTATCATTGTAAGCAAACTAACCTTCAACAAAGTTGATTTGTTTGATGCTGCCAGTCCCTCCATTTCCTTGTGTGATCTCAATGCTTTTGATAGCCTGTGGCATGAGTTTTGGAATCAAGTTGTGGGAGTCGTAGATGGATGCCTTGAATAGCCTTGCCGGAGCAATGGCGTTGGTATATTCCTCAGTGAAAGTGGTGAGACCCATTATTTGCCTCGAGGTTTCAAGATATATAATTATGGAGCAATGAAGTTGAGAGCTGGTTGAGGTAAGAATTTCTTTTAATGAAAGATGATGGTCGGAGAATGGTATTTATAGGCAGAAGTTATGGGATCCTTTGTTTCTGAAACTGTTTTAATTGGTTCATATTAATTCTTAGGAATTATCAAGGCAAAGAGCCAAAAATATTCATCTTCTTGTCCTGTTTGCATATATCATCAGTTCCAGCTTGCAACATTACATTACAAGAGGTGGCAGCATTTATCCAAATAAAATGTATTACTGTAAATTAAATTACTTTATCCTGCAGACCATTCTTAATAAGATCATCATAAAAGAGAGAGAGAGAGATGTGATGAGAGGATTAGTCATACTACAAACACACAATTTAATTTTGTTTCCTTACAAGAAAATATAGGACAAAATGAAGGATCTCAAGTGTACATAAACATGTATTTAGAGTCTGCTTATGAACCTAACTCGGTAACAGAAAAAGCTAATTTTTATTTAATTATTGTTGTAAAAATCCTAGCTGAAGGATTTGGAATTTTTGGATTCATTAAGGAAAGGAATTGGTTACCCACAAATCTCTTCCTCTTTATCTCTCTTCCCAATGAAGATACATGAACACATTGATAAAATCAACAACAATATGAATGTTTATACAGTATATAAGAGGTTCATGCTAACTGGACTGCCTGCAAATGTGTCTGAACTCATCAGAAATTTCAAAGTTCATACTAAAGCCGACTAAGCCAAATAGGCAGTGCTAAGGATTAACTGGTCGTGTTAATACCATAATTCTTGCATAATGTCTTTAGGCTAGACTTTGGCTAGACTAACATGTTCAAACTAATTTAAAACATAGATTGATGGGATGTCCACTTGAATTTGAATAGTACATTTAAAGTTTATTTAGCATTTTGATGAGCAAATTTATTGGAGCAGTTTTAGGATATGAATTTTTGCTTCAAATGCCATAAAAGAAGCAATGCAGCCAACAAAGTGCTCTAAATATTTACCTAAGCCAAATCCAGCCTAGCAAACATCAAGTTGGACGAACTGGAACTTGGTGATCGGACAGTGGCCTATTTTTTGAAAATCTTTACGATCATTCCTCTGCAAAGCTATACTAGTGGTTTTAGTTTTTAATCAATGCCGCCAATTACAAGTTAGAAATTTCATGCACAGTGATTTTAAGCTGAAAAAATTGCTAAGATAGCTTTCAAGGGAAGTGAACTCTCCACTGGAATGGTATGGGACTCCAGTGGAAAGTTGTCTTTGTTGATGTGGACACCTAGTCATTGTATTTTGTTTAGGAACAATGTTGTAATGATGGTTTTAAAAGATTGAAACGTGATAAGGAAAAACATAGAGCATGGATGATAAATTAAAAGAATCATATTTCATTTAAAAACGGTAAACATAATAAAATATTAGAACTTTAAATCATCAGTTACAATATATGGCAAATTCATTCTATGAATTAACACATAAAACTGATTTTCCAACAATACAAAATGGCATAGAAATATGAACTTTTATAGCATCTCCACAGTATACACTTCACAACCAGATAGAGTAACTTATGTTCAAAGGATGCATTAATATCAATGTCAACTGAGGCCATCAATTTCAAAACAAATAAATAAGGTCAAACAAACAAAATAACGAGAGTGTAGAGTTTGCCGCCCAATAGACATTGAGTGAGTCGGTTGTGTGTTTTGGCAATCAAACGAGTTAAAAAGTCGCTCATCGAAAACTTACAGCAGCTTGCCAAACAAAGGCTAAGAGAAGGAAGAGCACAGGTATGACTGGCATAACATTCACGATTGGATTCAAAAAAGCCGTATGCAATGCGCAAAAGATGCCCGTACGGTTGTTCAATGATGTTCCGTGATATTGAAGAACAGATCTTAATTTATACAAGTTAATAACTTGGGTTTGGGATAATTTATAAAATACATATGCTTGTGACAAGGAGGGTGTTCCGTGATATTGAAGAACAGATCTTAATTTATACAAGTTAATAACTTGGGTTTGGGATAATAAAATACATATGCTTGTGACAAGGAGGGTAAGTCACAAAAAATCTGTGAAACAGCTAGGCCTCAGCCCCATTTTTTACTACTTGGTCAATATGGCAACATCTCTCTGCAATACGCAGTAGTTAATGTCCGAACATTAAAATGCCATGAAACTCCAAAATATGCCTTCAAATTCATTGGATGTCTAAAATCATATCAATTGAAAATGAAAAACCAATATGCAATTAAATGATATTGCAATTAAAATGGACATTATTTGTGATAATGCATTCCTAAGTAACATCCAAAAAAATGGAGGTATATATGATCTTACAATCACTCTGCGAAACAATGCATCTCCAAGAAGCACCTGTGATAAAAACAGCAATTGACAATCCAATAAATGAACAAAATAATATATTAAGATAATGCAATATTATTATGCATATATACACGCGCGTGTTTGTGTAATTTCATACCGAGTTTTCAGCCTTGACATGTGGACTGGTCTCAACAATTATGGAGATAAGAAAACAAACCTGTCCAGTACATCGTTTCGATCCACTCTTTCAGGAAAAATAGAAAACAAAATAAAAATCCTAACACTCATTCACAGTCAATTACCTCATAAATTCATCGGAATGAAATACTTCATTCTTTAAAAAAAAATATTTGAAGGATGGGATGATTTGGTTCTTCAAGCTTCGTCTCGATATAGTTGGGCTTGTGGCTACTATATCTTCACAAGCTCAGTGCTGGAAATTCCAGTGGAGTAAATATGGGCAAAAAGGTTTTCTTGGGATCCGAGAAGAGAAGTTTTGGGCATTTTCTAATGAGAGGGGAGATCTGTGTTTTGCTGAAATCATGGTTCTTGAGGAAGTTGAGAACTGAATCTGGTTGGTTTAGGGTTATAAAATTGATGTAATTGGAAACAGAGATAGCAGTTTCTGGAGTAAACCTACATGAATTTATGAGGTAATTGACCGTAGATGAGTGTTGATTTGTGGAAGTTGAGATGGATTTCAGAGATAGAAGACAGTTTATAGATTGAGGAATCTAAAACAGCAGAACATCTAACACGAACTAGAGGATATAGTTGAAGACAGTAGGGATCCGGCGACCAGTTTGGCCCATGAAACCCTTCAAACCCTAGTTTCTAGGACTGGTCGCCGGATCCCTACTGTCTTCAACCATCAAACAGTTTGGGTATATATAGAGATAGAGAAATAGGGTTAGAGTCGGTGCTGCATGGTGCCATGGTTAATACTTTATTAGCTAACGGGTAATTTTGTCATTTGAAAAAAACTGATGTTTTACATGCAAAATAAATACTTTATTGAAGGACTGCATAGGGCCACGGTTAATACTTTATTAGTACAGGGTAATTTTGTCATTTGAAAAAACTGATGTTTTACATGAAAAATAAATACTTTATTAAAGGGCAAATCAAACATATCAAGTTATTGAAGACCGTGTTTGAATTTATGTCATTGTATGGCTATTGGCATATCACAGGATATTTTTAAAGTGCGAGACAAAATTAGATAATTTAAATTTATGTAATTTTAATTTGACAAAAAAATCATAATATAAATATTCATTGACACTCTTTCGAAATTTAGACGAATCTACTACACTTTTCAAATATTACCATCAAATGCGTGTTTTACCCTCAATTTTCAAGGGCTGGTTATGAACATTCATAATGCATTCTTTTTTTTAGTTATTCTAAGAAAGGGGAAGTGGAAAGAAAAATATCAGGGATATTAAGGAAAAATATAATTTATATACCATTTGTTTCATCTTTTTCTTTTTTTATTATTTTTTTATTTTTTTATTTTCAGACTGTTTGAAAAAAAAAAATTAAATTCTTTTTTCTATTCAGGAAACATAATATGACGCTGATTTTGTTCTCTTTACATTAACTTTTTTTCATTTTCCTTTCCATCAATAAATCAGCAAAACTAACAGAAACTTAGTGTGTGGCTTAGATGCAATTTTTACATGTGCAACTCATTAGATTTTGCATTATAATTCGAAATTAGGCATGACAAGTGTTGATGTTGTTAACACATATTGATAGTTAAAAAGCAACTTAAGTTATTTATTTCTTTTTTCCTCAAAACAAAGGGACATAAGGTATACTCATATGGAAGAAAAAAACATAATCCACCCAATGTTCATAAGCAGGATTGGAATACTTATTGCAACAAAGGCAACCAATGCCAGACAAAAGCAAAAACAACATTAGTGCACCAAACATAAGAGACCATAGATTAAGAACATTAAACATAGGCATCAGGGTTTTGCAAGAGATAGGCTTCCACAACCTTGTACATTCCCGTGGCCTTTTCCTTGCCAGCCTTAATGGACTCTTCTGAGAGCTCAACATCACCCTTGGTGTAATATTTGCTCGTCATCTTCGAAACAGTTCCACCGTTAGGAGACAGCTCAAGCTTGACCTCATAAGAAATTGATTCAATTTGCTTGTCCATCGAGGCATCTCCTTCAATCAGAGTATAGTTGTAAGTGAACGTCTCTTCGTTGAGCTCATCAATTCGGTACTTCAAACAATGCAAAGTGCTACCTGCATGAAACAACATTAGCCACATTTCAGTTTGATCATTATATATGATTTTCTATTCAAGGTAATACTATATATATTTACATGTGTGTGTCTTGTAGTAAGCTAACTAACCTTCAGCAAAGTTGATCTGTTTGATACTGCCAGCCCCTCCATTGCCTTGAATGTCAATGCTTTTGATAGCCTGTGGCATGAGTTTTGGGATCAAGTTGTGAGAGTCGAGGATGGATGCCTTGAATAACCTTGCTGGAGCAATGGTGTTGGTATATTCCTCGGTGAAAGTGGTGACACCCATGGTTGAGGGGAGAATTTTCTTTGAATTGGAGGAGATGGTGAGAGGATGGTATTTATAGGTACAAGTCAGGGGACCTTTTGTTTCTGAAACTGGTTCATATTAATTATTAGGAGTTACCAAGGAAAATAGCCAAATATATTCATCTCCTTGTCCTGTTTGTATGTCAGCCACATTACACTACAAGAGATGGCATCACTCACATTACATTTCAAGAGGTGGCATCATTTATCCAAATGAAATGGATATTACTCTAAACTAAATTTTTTTATCCGGTAGGCCAATTCTTAATTCGGCCATCAGAGAAGAGATAGAGATGGTAAAACAAACTCAATTGCACAAAAGCACAAGTTAATTCCATTTCCTTGTGGGGAAACAGAGGGCAAAATGAATCGTCTCATTTGTATGTAAACATGTATCTAGATTGTGCTAAAACATGAAAGCTACATAAAAAGAAAAATGACCCTCATTCGGTAGTTTATTGGGGAAGTTGTAGTCTTTGGCTTAACTAGAGTTGCCATGGATAAAGGATTTAGTTTGCAAACTTGAGCTGACTGAGCCTAATAGACAGTGGTCTGGATTAACTGATTGTGGCAGCACCTTATTTCATGCCTAAATATCCCTAGGTTAGATTTTGGCTGGACTGACATGGTCAAACAACTCAAACTCAATTAAACATCAATAATTTGAATGTTCCATTGAATTTGATTAGTCCACTTAAAGTTCATTTAGCATTTTGATGACAAACCTATCTGCTTGAGTCAGTTAAGAAAATGCCAGTAAATGATGTTAAAAGCTCTGTCAAACTACTAAGCCCTGGCCTCAAAAGATTGCATTCAGTGAAATATGGTGAAAGTCCTTTTTTTTCTTTATTGGTCCAGTTTTAAGATATAATTTTCACTTGAAATGCCACAGAAGACACAATGCAGCTTATGTAGCCAACAGATAACACTCTAAATATTTACCGAAGCCAAAGGCAGCCTACTAAAACATCGAGTTGGATGCACTGAACCTCTGTTATTTGGCCAGTGGACTATTGTTGGCAAATATCTTTATGATTATTCCTCAGCAAAGCTATGCTAGTGGTTTCAATTTGTAATCGACGTTCCAAATTACAAGGTAGAAATTCCATGCTCGGCACTTCTAAGCAGTCCATCCTTGAATATTTTCAATGATAGCTTTCAAGTGAATTAAACTCACCCCTGCAATGGTATGAGACTTGAATGTCTTGTTTTGCAGATATTCTGCAGTATCTATGGATAGAAACCAGAATATACTGCAGAATATCATACTGTAGTAGTAAAAACTGGAAGGCACTTTAGTTTACAAATCTTATTCAAGCATTCCACTTTCGTTTCCATGGCAGGTAAATGCAAGTGCTGATGTTGAAACAGCATATTTAAACACACAGATATACCTAAAATCACTTCAGCACCACTTGTGTTTCTCTATATCATCGATCAGCAGCCAACATGTTTACTAACTTGTTGATTAACTAGGTTAAGATATTTCAAGTTTATGCGATTGAATATATACACTTGCTGCCAAAAGAAGAACACAAGTTTCTGGCTTCAGCTTGAAACCATGGTTTATTGTTTGGATTCATTCACACTCTCTTTCCTTAGTACTGCAACAAAAAAATCACACACATACAACAATCATAGTAATACTCAACCAGTTTAAACTTAAAAGCAACTTCATTTATTTATTTCTTTTTATTTTTTCCCCTCAAAACAAAGGGAGATATGATATTCTCATGTGGAAAGGAAAACATAATTCCCCCATGTTCATAAGCAGGGGTGGAATTCTTATTGTAACAAAGGCAATTATTGCCAATTAGCCGGACAAAAGCAAAAAGCAGCATTAGTGCACCGAACACTTAAGCTAGAGACCATAGAATAAGAACATTATGCATAGGCGTTGGGGTTTTCGAGGAGGTAGGATTCGACAACCTTGTACATTCCCATGGCCTTTTCCTTGCCGGCCTTGATGGACTCTTCTGAGAGCTCAACATCACCCTTGGTGTAATATTTGCTCGTCATCTTAGAGATAGTTCCACCATTAAGACATGGCTCAAGCTTAACCTCATAAGAAATTGATTCAATCTGCTTGTCCATCGAGGCATCTCCCTCAATCAAAGTATAATTATAAGTGAGAGTCTCTTCGTTGAGCTCATCAATTCGATACTTCAAATAATTCATAGTGCTACCTGCATGAAACACGCCCATGAAATATAATTTTGTATTATGTAAAACATTCATTATATACGATTTTCTATTGTAAGTAATATAGTATATATATTTGACAAAGTTTGTGTGTGTGATAGTAAGCAAACTAGCCTTGGGCAAAGTTGATCTGTTTGATGCTGCCAGCCCCTCCATTTCCTTGACTGATCTCAATGCTTTTAATAGCCTGTGGCATGATTTTTGGGATCAAGTTGTGAGAATCAAGGATTGATGCCTTGAATAACCTTGCGGGAGGAATTGTACTAGTATATTTGTCAGTGAATGTGGTGACACCCATAATTTGGCTAGAGTTTTGGAGATAATTAGGGGTAAGAAAGGCTCGTGTTGGTTAGAGAGTTCTGTTTGGATAGGAGGAGTTGGTGAGAGGATGGTATTTATAGGTAGAAGCCGGGGCATCCTTTGTTTCTTGAATTCGTTTCAATTGGTTCATAACATGAGGAATTACCAAGGAAAATAGCCTCTACATCATCAATTCTTCTCCTTGTCCTGTTTCCATGCCATCAGTACATTACAAGAGGGGCATCTTTTTTCCAAATATACATAATGGATTACTATATGCGTTTGTGCGTCTTTGTGTGTGTATATGCGCACACTGAGCGTGAGGAAAATGATGCCAGGATAAACATAGTCTTGGTTCTCAAAAGAAAATCACTTTCAAGTACTTAAGTGTAAAACTGTACCCAAAAAAAAAATGTCAAAATGAAGTTCAGTAAATATGTATTTTGGAATTATGGTACAACATAACAAACTTGGAACAAAAATGAGCCCCATTCCACAGTCTAATGCAGAAGAAAGTTTTTTATAACGCAATGAAACATACACACATCTCAGTAGAGTGCAAGAAAGAAAGGAAAATCATAGAAAAAATATTCTACTGGAGTTGCTCAAAGTTGGATATTTTGTCTTGATAAAAATTTTGCCTTGACAACTTTTTCCTTTTTCTCTCTGAGACACCAAATCAATGTGTATATAGATATATATATATAGTTTGACAATGAGAAATCAATATATGTATTAGGTGATTAGTGGCAGCGTAGTTCGTTAAAATAAAACAAGAGCTTTTATCAGTAGAGGTATCTAAAAAACTGTTATTAGTTAAAAATAATAATTTATTAGATGTTTGGTAATACATTATATAAAATATATTTTATAAGTAAAATATCATTCAATATGTTTAGAAATAATATTTCTTAAAGCATTTTTGTTACTCATTTTACAAGATTGTTCTTTAATATTATTATATTTAATAATAAGACCTTTATAAAAGAATAGGTGAAATTGTTTTTTTTTTTTTTAAAAAGGTATATAGAATCTCTACTTAGAACACAAATTTAAAAAATTAACTTCCGGACTTTTTTTTTCTTTTTTGTCGACGATGGGATAAATTTCTTAGGGCTTCAAGGAAGTTGGATTCCCAACCACTAAATCCTTACTGAACTAAATTTGATATAGTATTAAAAGTGTTTTTAATAATTATTAAGCTATATCTAAACATAATTTTTTCAAATAAAAATACTTTTAAATGATTGAAATACATTCCCAAATAAGATGCTCTTAAAGAGCCTTAAAAAAAAAAAAAAAAAAAAAAAAAAAAAAAAAGGATGGACCTAGCAAAAGAAAACCCATAAGAAGCAGCCCAAAACAAAACGACTTTCAATCCAGGAAGCAAGGATATTTTAAGTTCACATCTGTATGCTATTTACAGATCATATATATATGCTAGAGCATGAATCTTTGTACTTAAAAGACATTTTGTTTTCCGCTTCTCTCTAATAAATAAATAAGATTCCAATGTAAGACCGCAAATTAAACCATCCACACACTGCATTCATGTCTTTCTACAATCATCATCTTTTAAAAACATTACAATCATCAAATAGTCACTTCAGCTTGAGAGGTAATTGCGTCATCTGAGTTATAAAAAATCAAATGAGGTGCAGCATAACCAAAAAGGAACGAAAATGAAACCCACATATGATTCAAATGGCAATAGCATTATTATTATTATTATTTTGTCCAGAGGAGTTCGGTTCTACATTTCACAATAGCCATTAAAGTTTCTTCATATGTAACATCGAAGTAAGTATATCATACATAATAATCAATCAATACTCATACAAGCACAAATGGGCCTTAATGAGCTTCAAGTGCCACTCCAACCTTATCAGTGAAGCTGTTGACGTACTCCTTCCTCGCCGGATGATCCTCCTGTGGCCGATTATATGCCGTCCATACCGGCTCTCCCATAAACAACCTCATCAACTGCAACGCGCACACAAATAGTTGTAATTCAGTTGTGTATGTCATCCCCTAAAATGTAAGTAGAGACTAGAGAGTAGTCTACTCGGTCAACGAAGTGGCTTAAACAAATTTTTTTTTCCATAATCTCAGACCAACGAATATTCATTACTGATATGGAACACTAAAGTGGCTCTTCTACTTTCAAAATGTTCCCGAAAATTCTTGCTCCCAGTGGACCATTTGTAGATATGCATTTGGATTCCGATTCATGGATCTCTCTCTTCGTTGGAAAAATAAAAATAAGAGAATCAAACCATTTCTCCTTATTCTTTTTGGCTTCGTTTGGATCGAGGGATTTGGAGAGAATAAAAAAAAAAAAGGATAGTGACGAGTGTGTTTGAATGGAAAGAATAGGAGGAAAAAGAAAAAATTTGGAAAGATCAAAATTGACAAGATTTAGAGTGATTCTGAGAGAAATAAAATAAATTACAAAAGTAACCTGAAAGGAGGGGCAAGCTTGGCTAAAAAAGACGGTAAAATAGTAAATTATTCATTTCATTTTTTTTTTTTCCATTCATCCAAACAAGAATATTATTTATTTATTTTTTTTTTCTTTATTCATAATATTATTATATCTATCATTTTTTTTTTTTTTTCTTTTCTCTTATAATCCTTTCCTTTCTTTTCCCTCCTATATTCAACCGAAGCCTTTCAAATTTGATAAATGTTGGTTGATTGTATAGTCTCACAAAAAATTATTCACCTTCTGGTCCAAAATAATGGTTCCAATTCAAAATCGACTCTACTATTTTTTTGTGGGGGCATAAAGAATATTATATTATATTATTTAATTAAAATTTCATAATTAGATGAGAGTAATTTTTCACCTTCACGTAGTTACTGGTATCCAGGGTAAACCTGTGGTAAATGCCAGCTGGCAAGATGATCAGATCTCCCTCCTTGATCCAGATGCTAATCCAACGGTCATCCTTGTCTCGAACATCGAAATAACCGCAACCTTCGAGACAGTAGCGTATCTCTTCGTTCTCGTGTATGTGCTCCGTATAAAAGTTCTTCAGTTTCTCCTCATAATTATCTACCTTCTCAGGGCACAAATCAAGCATATCCTACGAAATACTCACATACTAGTATTATACATATTTATATATAATTTTAGTATTAGTATTGGCAAAATTTAAGGAAAATACCATGTAATTGTAGCCTCTGGTTTCTCTGATCTTCTGCAATTCCTCATCGTTCTCATAATCCTTTGGGTTCAAATGCCAGTACAGGACTCCGAGATCTGTATAATTGGCAAACTGTGAATTCTAGAGAGAGAAAGTGAAAGTCTTAGAGAGTGTTAAGATGGAGAGAAGATTGATGACCTGCAAGGTGGTCCAAAGAAACGAACTCTTTAGGGCTTCGATGATGAGGCAGCCTCTTATCCTCATCACTCTCTTCCATGAACCATGCCTGATTTGGAAACACCACCACCAAATTAAAATCAATATAATTCAATAAATTAGAATTGTGATTAAGCAACTGAAAATAATTTTAATTTATATACATAAATATATTTATATGTATATTATCACCCACCTCTATCGCCATGACTCACTGGTTGAATAGCTACCTGAGTTCAAACTTACGGGCGATGGCGAGAAATGTTGAGGTGTATTTATCTCGATGGTTCTGTAGCAATCTGTTTCATTTGCTGCCACTTGTACGGTGGTTGTTTATTGGTTTTTGTGGTGATAATTGATTTAGCTGTTTCTCGCCCTGGTAGAAAAAATCGTGTTTGGCATTATTGCAGGTGATTGAAGAAACCATGTAGGTACAAGACTAGGGGTGCGCGTTGTATGCATGTTAGATCAAAAGCATCTTAAAAAACAAAGCATAAAAAATAATAATAATAATAATAATAATAATAATAATAAATTAAAAATAAATTAAAAATCAAACTGCCTGAACACTGAAATGATTCGTCCGGACATTTTCAACTTCCGGGACATGATTGGATAATTTTGTAATTCTAATTTTTTTAATTTAAATTTAATATACTTTAAAATATATTACTGTCTCCTTAAATTTGAAATTAAAAAAAATTAATATAAATTCAAACTACGCTCACTTTAATTTCAAATCAAAGTCGCCATACTACAAATGTAAATAAAAATAACTAACGTCTAAGAGCAACCCCAGCGCCAAGACAAAGTGTATAATATGTGTGTCTTTGTGTATTGAATGGCGCTCCTGCGCGGATTACACATTAGTAGGGCCCAATTTATATTACACACTCCACTCTTTACACTCTTTACAACTAAGTAATGGAGTAACGCCTGACTTGAGCAGAAAGGGCAGCACAGTGGTGAGCCATTGTGTGGGAATGTGTGTGAAATAATGATATAAAATAAAAATAAAAAATAATATTGTGTGATGATATTGGATAAAAATAATTATTTAAAAAATAACAATATAATAAAATATATAATAAAAAAATGAGTCCACAATAAGAATTTAGAGTCTTTAAAATAAGTCTACAATCAAATATTAACGTGACTGTACATTTTATATAAAATTAATGATGTGGCTGCATACTTTAGATCACTGGGTTGCGCTAACTATATATAAATATATTAGTTTTTTAATTGTTTGACATATCCCTATCCGGATACTACTACTGGTAAAAAAAAATTCAATAGTTCTAATTATATAGTTAAACAAGGATGGGTAATGATTTCTTACCGGGTACTATATATATACGGAGAGAGAGAAGCAGAGACGGAGACATCGAATTCTGAAAGGGAAGTGTGGGGGAGAGAGAGAGAATGAAAGAAATAGAGAAGATTACACTGTTCGTGAAGGGCGTTTGCGCTCGCGACATAATGAGAGAAGGCCATTAACACTCTCGAGAGGAAGATGGTGTTGGATGCTTCCATTCCGAAGGGGGTTGTTGAAGTTCATATCAACCCCGACGACAAAGCTTCTCTGAACAAGACGAAGTGCATCACAAATAGGATGGAGTTTCAGAACTCGTTTCTGATGGGGTCATTTATCCACACCTATTTCCTCGGCAAGGAAGCAACCGACAGAGTGATCAGCGAAGCCAGCAGTGATTCATTCATCCGTAGGTGGTTGTATTTGAAGAAGGTGAATTATGATGCCAGGATTCTGATGGCTTCCGATATGATCACCCATCTCCGTCGCGAGATCGAGAAGACCGAGTGATCGATCAGCAATGGCCAAGGCAGAGAAGGAACTTGGTATGTTTGGTTGGTTTAAATACTTTTTTTAAATTAGGGTTTATGATATGTATAGGGTGGAACTTATTAACTCTCTTCATCATTTAATTATATATATAACATCATCTATTATGTGATCTATGTTTTTCATTGATTGCTATTGTGATTTTAATTTTCCTTCTCTTTGTTGATCTATTACGGTAGGGTAGGGTTTACGCGTGTTTGAACTTTTAGCGTTTCCAAGTCTTTTTCTGTAGCATGATAATTGTTTGATAAAATGCCCATTAGAGGTATCTCTGAAGGTGTCAGGTGGCTTTGATGCATTGTGTGAAAAATGGTGATCAATGTTCAATAGTAATGATTTAACATATTGAAAACAAACACACAGTTCTTAAATGCAAACTAATTGGAACTTGGGTCACAATATGTTGAATGATTCTACCAATACAGCACAATCAAGTTTTAGATGCCAGACTAAAGGGCAAGTGGCCTACCTGTACCAGACATACTTCCCAAAAGGAGGTCATGGGTTCAAGCCTTGGTGGAGGCTGTGTGTGTGAGTGAATAGCTTTACCTTCCAACAACAACAACAAAAAAAAAAAAATGTTTTAGATGCCAGGTGGTAAAACCTTCTTAACAAGTCTTATCTCACCATTCCACTTCCTTTTCCATGACATGCTAGCACAAGTGTTGGAGTTGATACAACATATTTTAAATTTCAACACTAACATATAATACAAAATTACTTATGTACTTGAGTTTCTCTATGTCACCACATCAAAGAATTGAGACGGCCAAGTGCCAACATGTTTATTCCAGCTGATATCATAGAGTACGTAACTAATATTCTTGCTTTAATTGCTGAGTGATTTGTTTAAGGGCAATTGAATGAACTTATCAGAGGGGAGGAAAAAAAAAAAGAGGGACCTTAAAAGGTTGTTCAGAGTGTAGTGTCTACTTGGATCATCAGATGCTAATGCTAATGTGAAGGCACATTCACATGCCTTTTCCCTGTTACTTCAATGATATTATAGCAATACTTGACAATCAAACTGTTACTGAACCTGTTTACACTCAAAAGCCATACTTCAATTACTTATTTCTTTCTCTTAAAACAAAAGCGAGACTAGATTTTCTAAAGAGGAAGAAAAATCATTATCCGCCCATGACTATAAGCAGGGGTGGGTTTCTTAATATACTAAAAGCAAACGAAAGTTGCAACAGCACACCATAGACTTAAGAACCGATTGGCAAAATAAGAACATTATGCATAGGCATCGGGGTTTTGCAGGAGGTAGGATTCGATAACCTTGTACATTCCCATGGCCTTCTCCTTGCCAGCCTTGATGAACTCTTCTGAGAGTTCAACATCACCCTTGGCATAATATTTGCTTGTCATCTTAGAGACAGTTCCACCATTAAGAGACAGCTCCAACTTAACCTCATCAGAAATTGATTCAATCTGCTTGTCCATCGAGGCATCGCCTTCAATTAGAGTATAATTGTACGTAAACGTCTCTTCATTGAGCTCATCAATTCAGTACTTCAAATCATTCAAAGTGCTACCTGCATGAAACCCACCCATGAAATACATTCTTTCTATTAGGCCAGATTTCAGTTTGTTCATTATGTATGATATTCTATTGCAAAAAAATACAACATATATTTACATATGTGCGTGTTTGTCATAGTAAATAAACTAACCTTCAGCAAAGTTGATCTGTTTGATGCTGCCAGCTCCTCCATTTCCATGAGTGATATCAATGCTTTTAATAGCCTGTGGCATAAGTTTTGGGATCAAGTTGTGAGAATCAAGGATCAATGTCTTGAATAACATTGCTGGAGCAATGGTGTTGGTATATTCCTCAGTGAAAGTGGTGACGCCCCTGATTTGTCTAGAGTTTTGAAGATAATTACAGAGTGATTAAGATGAGAGATGGTTGATGAGAGAATTTTCTTTGAATAGGAACAGATGGTGAGAGGATGGTATTTATAGGCTCAAGTCAGGGGATCCTTTGTTTCTGAAATTTTTTTAATTGGTTCATATTAATTCTTAGGAGTTACCAAGGCAAATAGCCTAATTTATTCATCTTCTTGTCCTGTTTGCATGTCAGCCACATTAAACTACAAGAGGTGGCATCACTCACATTACATTACAAGAGGTGGCATCATATATCCAAATAGAATGGATTACTTTAAATTAAATTATTTTATCCGGTAGCCCAATTCTTAATATGCCATCAGAAAAAAGATGGAGATCTAAAGAGAGGGTAAACATTAGGGGTGGCCACAGATCAGATCCGATTAGGCATCAATCATAATCCGATCCGTTTCCAACGGATTGGAAAATTCCTAATCTGCCAACAATCCGTGGGATAATGGATCGGATCGGATCAGATTAGAATGACTGATCGGAACCGATCAGATCCGCGGATTAGAGTTTTTCCTAAATTGTCCAATATTGTTTATTTTTTAACCCAATAGATAAAATTTTAATTTATCAACATTAATTCATATATTTAAATGATTATTAACTAATACATTCTTAGAGTCCATTAAATGATCATTAACTAATTAATTAACTAATACATTCTTCGAATATATATCTATATATATATATATATAAATCTCGCGGATCGGATCGGCCCAATCCATGAGATACGGATTCAATTTTTTTGAATCCACCACCGATCCGTGAGTATAGTAATCGTGTGGATCGGATCGGATCGGATTCGCGGATTCACGGATTATTTGCCCACCCCTAGTAACATAGTCATAGTAAATGAATTGTCTAAATTGTATGTAAACAGGTTTCTGGATTGTGCTAAAACATGACAACATAAAAAGAAAAAAGACCCTCACTGGGCATTTTATTGGAGAAGTAACAGTCTTTCGAGTAGCTAGAGTTTCCATGAGGGAATGATGCTTAAGTAATTTATTGGGATGTTATAATGGATAAGTACTTGTAAGCAACAGAGGAAGCTAGATTTATTTATTTATTTATTTTGTTGCTAAAATCCTTTCACAAGGATTTAGAAATTTTGTCTTCATTAATATAAGGAACTAGTTATCCCCAAGCTGACTGAGCCTAATAGACAGTGTTATGGATTAACTGGTTGTGCCAACACCATTTTCATGCCTAAATATCCCTTGGTTATATTTTTGCTAGATTGACATGTTCAAACTCAATTAAAGACCAATGGTTTGAATGTCCCCTTGAATTTGAATAGCGAACCTAGATTCTTGAGTCAGTTAAGAAAATGGCAGTTAATGATGTTAAAAGCTTCGCTATACTGCTAAAGTCTCAAAAGATTGCATTCCAGTGCAGGTAAACATAAGAGTTGCTGTTGAAACAGCATATTTTTAGCGCACACATATAACTAAAATCACTTCCATACTTGTGTTTCTATGTGTCATCAGCAGCCAACACGTTTACTAAATTGTTGATTAACTAGGTTAAGATATTTCATGTTTATTATTGCTATGTATTGGTCAAGCGATTGAATGCACTTGCTGCCAAAAGAAAAACACAAGTTTCTCGCTTCAGCTTGAAACGAAGGTTTAGAGTTAACTTGGATCCTTGAAATGCTGATGCTAATTTGAAGGTTCATTCGCATGCCTTTCCTTTAGGCCCTAGTACTTCAACAAAATAATTAGACACAACAATCATTGTAATACTCATCCTGTTTAAACTTAAAATGCAACTTCAGTTATTTATTTCTTTTTTCTTTTTTCCTCAAAACAAAGGGAGATAAGGTATTCTCATATGGAAGAAGAAACATAATCCACCCATGTTCATAAGCAGGGGTAGATTCTTATTGTAACAAAGGCAACCATTGCTAGACAAAAACAAAAGCAACATTAGTGCACCGAACACTTAAGAGACCATAGAGAATAAGAACATTAAGCATAGGCATCAGGGTTTTGCAGGAGATAGGCTTCCACAACCTTGTACATTCCCATGGCCTTTTCCTTGCCAGCCTTAATGAACTCTTCCGAGAGCTCAAGATCACCCTTGGTGTAATATTTACTCGTCATCTTAGAGACAGTTCCACCATTAGGAGACGGCTCAAGCTTAACCTCATAAGAAATTGATTCAATCTGCTTGTCCATCGAGGCATCACCTTCAATCAGAGTATAGTTGTAAGTGAACGTCTCTTTGTTGAGCTCATCAATTCGGTACTTCAAACAATTCAAAGTACTACCTGCATGACACACACACACACACACATGAAAAACATGTTTGTATTAAGTAAAACATTAGCCAGATTTCAGTTTGATCATTATATATGATTTTCTATTGTAGATAATACTTGTAAGCGAACTAACCTTCAGCAAAGTTGATCTGTTTGATGCTGCCAGCCCCTCCATTGCCTTGAATCTCAATGCTTTTAATGGCCTGTGGCATGAGTTTTGGGATCAAGTTGTGAGAGTCAAGGATGGATGCCTTGAATAACCTTGCTGGAGCAATGGTGTTGGTATGTTCCTCAGTGGAAGTGGTGACACCCATTTTCAAGATGATTAGGAATCACAAAGTAAGAAAGGGTATAGTTGGTTGGAGATGCAGTTTTCTTTGGATAGGAGGAGATGGTGAGAGGATGCTACTTATAGCTAGAACTTAGAAGCCTGGGCATCCTTAATTGTACCCCAAAATCGTTTGCAATAGGTTCATAACACCACCAATTACTAGGGAAAATAGCCTCTGCATTCTTCTCCTTGTCCTGTTTGTATGTCGTCAGTCACAGCAAGGGACATTACATTACATTACTAGAGGGAGTATCCATCTTTTATCAAAATATACATAATGGGAAATGAGCTAAATTATTTTATCCTGTAGGACCAATTCTTAATGACAAGATTATACTACGTATGTGTGTTTCCTTGTCTGTACAAGTACAATTGTACAAGGCGAGAGGAAAATGGGTAAGCGTTCTCTTGGTTCTCAAAAGAAATTGTCTTCAAATACTACCAAAGATGTAGTCTGGTGGTACTTCGTCGTCTTTTAAAGTGAAAAGACCTAAAATTTCAAGTCTAGAAAGGCAAACAACACGAGGGAGTGTGTGAGTAACTTGCCAAGGTAAAAAGAAAATCACCTTCAAATACTTGACAAAGACAATGAGGACTATAATCCAGTGGTAACTCAATTCCCTTAGGTAAACATGTATTTTGGAGTTGTGCTCGAACAAGATAAACATAGAACAAAAATGAGCCCCACTCGGCAGTTTAATGCAGAACAAAGAGTATTTTTTAATTCATTGAGATGTAAGTAGCGTCTCTCATAAGCAACTCGCTGCTGTATTCATTAATTAAAGTAATTAGTTAATGATATTTATATAGACTTTTTTAACTTATCTACATCAAAAGATATCACTACATCAACGGGTCCCATTCACAGTATCAAAGGAATATAAGAAACCCGACAAATAAATTTGAGATTTCGGTGAACATGTTGATGTAATCCACCGATGCCAAATTTCTCATCACCACAAAGTTGTACTTTTTAAAGATGTGGTGCGAAAATGAGATAACAATTGTTCTTATAATATAAATGAATTAAAATTAAAAATTTGAAAGGATATCGGTTAAATTAAATTAAATCCCTAATTCTCTCCCCCGTTGCCGTGGCTACTACCTTCCATTGCCGCCCATCACCACTGCCTTCCGGCACCAGCCCCCTTGCACTAGCCACCACCACTATCACTGATGTTTTTTAATTATACTTATATAATTAGTTTACAATTGGGAGACACCCCGGTAATTTTCCCCTATCATGTGGGATTGGATTGGATGCGCGTGAATTGAAGCCCAATATCACCATTATTGAAATATATATATATATATAGGCCATTTTTTTATGGAATAATCTCTTGGAAAATCAACTTTTTATGATTTTTTAATATTTTTTATAACATTGATAAAAATAAAATTTTAAAATTAAAATTATTAAAAAATAAAAAATACAAAATACAAAATAAATAGTACATTTATTTTTAAAATGATATTATATTTCATTATTTTGAGATGGAAATAATTTTGGTATGAAACGAGTATATAATTAGTTCTAAGATTAATTAGTTTTAATTGAAGTAGGATTAATGATTTCGTGGCGGGTACCCTAGATCTGGATACATATTTGATATAGAGAGACAGACAGAGGCGACAGACACGCATATGAAACTGAAAGGGTAGAGAGGGGGAGAGAAAAAAATGAAAGAAAAGAAGACTGAAGTATTTGTGAAGGCTTTCACCACTCTCGAGAGGAAGGTGGTGTTGGATGCCACCACTCCCATGGGTGTTGTTGAAGTTCGTATCAACCCTGAGGATGAAGCTTCTCTGAACAAGACGAAGAACCTCACAGAATCGATTATGAATCAGGCCTCGCTTATGATGGCGTCAGCTCTCCACACCAAATATTTTGGCAAGGAAGCCACCGACCGAGTTATCAGCAACAGCCAAGGCAGAATTTATTCGTGGATTCATAGGTGGTTCTATTAGGGGGTTTGTGTTCTTCAGTTGCAGCAGAGAAGGAACATGTATGTTTAATTCGTTGGTTTAAATACTTAATTTTGTCTATATTTGGGTTTATGATATCATATATCATATATGGTGAAACTTATTAACTCTCTTCATCATCTAATTATATATATAGCATCATCTATTATGTGATCTATGCTTTTCATTGATTGCTATTGCTATTGTGATTTTAATTTTCCTTTTCTTTGTTGGTCTATTACAGTAGGGTAGGTTAAGGTAGGTTTTTTGCTTGTTTGAATTTTTAGGGTTTCCGAGTGTCCTTTGCTGTTTTCGAGCAAGGGGAGTGCAATAGGTTCTGCATTAAGAGAAATTTGGGCAAATAACGGTTTATGGTGTTAGCAGCATGACAATTGTTTGATGAAATGCCCATTAGAAGTCTCTCTCTGCAGGTGTCAGGTGGCTTTGTTTCCTTTTGTGAGAAATAGTAATTCGTGTTTAATAGTAATTATTTGACATTTTGAACCCTATTTCACAACAAACAATCAAACTATTACTAAATCTGTTTAAACTCAAAAGCCAAACTTCAATTATTTATTTTTTTCGTTTCAAAACAAAGGGAGACTGGGATTTCTCACGTGGAAGAAAAATCATTATCCACCCATGATTATAAGCATGCAGGGGTGGGTTTCTTATTGTACCAAAAGCAAACAAAAGTTGCAACAGCACACCATAGACTTGAGGACTTTACAAAATAAGAACATTATGCATAGGCTTCAGGGTTCTGCAGGAGGTAGGATTCGACAACCTTGTACATTCCTGTGGCCTTTTCCTTGCCAGCCTTAATAAACTCTTCTGATAGCTCAACATCACCCTTGGTGTAATATTTGCTCTTCATCTTAGAGACAGTTCCACCATTAGGAGATGGCTCAAGCTTAACCTCATAAGAAATTGATTCAATTTGCTTGTCCATCGACTCATCACCTTCAATCAGAGTGTAGTTGTAAGTGAACGTCTCTTCATTGAGCTCATCAATTCGGTACTTCAAATAATTCAAAGTGCTACCTGCATGAAACACACCCATGAAATATATGTTCCCATTATGTAAAACATTAGCCAAATTTTAGTTTGATCATAATATATGATTTTCTATTGTAGGTAATACTATATATCTTTACATATGTGTGTTTGTGTTATAGTAAGCAAACTAACCTTCAGCAAAGTTGATCTGTTTGATACTGCCAGCCCCTCCATTGCCTTGAATCTCAATGCTTTTAATGGCTTGTGGCATGAGTTTTGGGATCAAGTTGTGAGAGTCAAGGATGGATGCCTTGAATAACCTTGCTGGAGCAATGGTGTTGGTATATTCCTCAGTGAAAGTGGTGACACCCATGATTTTTATCTACAGTTTTGAAGATAATTAGGGAGCAGTTAAGACGAGAGATGGTTGAGGAGAGAATTTTCTTTGAATAGGAACAGATGGTGCGAGGATGGTATTTATAGGTACAAGTAAGGGATCCTTTGTTTCGAAATTCTTTTTAATTGGTTCATATTAATTCTTAGGAGTTACCAAGGCAAATAGCCAAATATATTCATCTCCTTGTCCTGTTTGCATTAACACTACTAGAGGGGGCATCATTCACATTACATTACAAGAGGGGACATCATTTATCAGAATAAAATGGATTGCTCTAAACTAAATTATTTTATCCGGTAGCCCAATTCTTAATCCGGCCATCAGAGAAGAGAGAAGAGATGTGAGGAGAGGGTAAAACATACTCAATTGTACAGAAGCACGAATTAATTATATTTCCTTGTGAAAAAACATAGCACAAAATGAATTGCCTCATTTCTATTTAAACATGTATCTAGATTGTGCTAAAACTTTCTAGCTGCATGAAAAGAAAAATGACCCTCAATTAATAGTTTTTTGGAGTGGTTATAGTCTTTCTATTAGCTAGATTGCCATGGAGAAAAGGAAGGATGCTTATGTAATTTGTAGGGATTGTGTAATGGATAAGTACTTGTAAGCAACACGGGAAGCTAGTGTGTTTTTGCCAAAATCCTTTCACATGGATTTAGCAATGTTATCTTCATCCCCATGAATTTGAATTTAGTCCCTTTAAAATTCATTTACCATTATGATGACAAGCCTATCTGCTTGAGTCAGTTAAGAAAATGGCAGTAAAAGATGTTAAAAGCTCTTTTATGCTACTAAAGCCTCAAAAAGAGTTCAGTCCATGATATGTACCTTTTCCTTTATTGGTCCTGTTTTAAGATATAAATTTTCACTTAGAAAATACCGTAGAAGACGCAATGCAGCTTATGCCTAGCGAATAAATCGCACTCTAAAACATTTGCTGAAGCCAAACCCAACCTAGTACAACATCGAGTTGGATGCACCTGTACTCTGTTATTGGCCAGTGGCCAATGGTTGGCAAGTCTTTGTTATCATTCCTCAGCAAGAGTGGTTTCACTTTGTAATCAATGCTCAGCACTTCTAAGCAGTTCGTCCTTGAATATTTTCCATGATAACTCCAACAGGAAGTCTCCTTGAAGTAAAATTTTGAAGTGTCTTTTTACCACCACGATCTGGAATATTTAGTGGAACAGGAATCTGTCTCTACATAATGCTGCTCAGATTGCCGGAAAATTTATTTGGGAAGTCTAGGATATATATATATATATATACACACACACACTGGGATTCCAATTGCAAGATATTGTGGTTGGCATGGTTGCTTGAGTGGGTTGTGCGTCATTGAAGTGGGTGTTTTTAGTGGTTTCTTGTAATTTGGAGGGTTTGCCCTTCTTGTTGATTGTAACTTGTTCTGTGGTTTTAATAATATTTTGCTTAGAAAAAAAATATAAAGAAAGAAAGAAAGAAAGAAAAACTCTCCCCTGCAATGATATGGGACTCAAAATGTAAATTTTTTTTTTTTCCCAAAAAGTGACTCAAAATGTAATTCATAAGGAAGCATATTCCAAATTTTGTTACCGTCAGATAATAAAGGACATCCCAAGAATTAATTTAATAAATGATAGGGTTAAGTGCCAAAAAAAAAAAAGAAAAAAAAACTTGAACTATGTTTGAATTTACAAATAACCTCACGAACTATATTTTGTGCATAAAATTTCTCGAACAATCACATTTTGTTGCAACATATCTCAATGCCTATACTATATTTCATTAAATGACCATAATGCCACTTCTTATTGAATTACATTTAATATATTTTTCTTATCTAAATAAATTATGAAAAAAAAATTATACTAATTTGATGACATATTCTCCATTAAATTTGCATAACTTAACCTTTAATTTTTTAAATTAATTATTTAAATAAAAATATTTAGTAGAATTTTTTTTTTTTAAATAATTGATTTTAAAATTTTTAATGAATATATTACATAAAAAGAAGGCTTTTTTAAAAAAGTATTTTATTAATTTTTCATCAATATATTGTATGAAAAAAATATATTTTTTTACGATAAAATGTTTAAATTGGTTATAATAAGTTTTGTTATAAATAATAAAATTTTAATAATAAGTTAATCAATTTAGAAAGTGGTAACTACAAATCTATTTATTTTTTTTTTTATGATAAAGTGATACTATAATAAAAATAAGGTAAATAGTATAATTAATATTTACATAAAGAGAAAAGATAATAAAAATAATTTAATAAGAAATGAAAATTTTATTGAGAAATGGTAAAATAGTCTTTTGTGATAAGTTTGATCTTAATTACAATTAATCAATAGTTTAGGGCAGGGGCGGAGCCAGGATTTGAATTCATGAAAGAAAAAGAAAAAAAAAAAAAAAAATTCTTTCTTAATATGTATTTTCATAAGAAAAGGAAATTTTAACATGTTTAAAAAAAGTTAGAAAGGACCATAATAGAAAAAAATATTACTGGTGGAATTACAAAAAGTAGGATATTTTGTCTTAACAAAAATTAAATAAGATTAGTTATTAAATAATGGATGGGTAATGATTTCTTGGTGAGTACTCCATACCTACCTTTTATAGAGAGAGACAGAGACAGAGACATCTGAATGCGAAAGCCAAGAGTGGGATAGAGAGAATGCAAGAAACAGAGAAAATTACAGTGTTTGTGAAGGCTATTAACGCTCTTAATAGGAAGGTGGCGTTGGATGTCTCCATTCCGAAGGGGTTTCTTGAAGTTCATATCAACCTTGAGGACGAATCTACTCTGAACAATATCAAGAAGCACACGAAAACGATGTCGAATCAGGAGTTGTTTATGACGGTGTCACTTGTCCACACCTCTGTCCTGGGCAAGGAAGCTACCGACCGACTGATCAGCCAAGCCACCGGTGGTTCATGCATCCGTAGGTGGTTCTATTTGAAGAAGATGAATCGCGCCTTTCCTCAGATGATGTCGGATGTGTACACCCATGTCACCAGCAAGAACACTGAACACCCAGTGATCAGCAATGGCAAAGGCAGCAGTGGTCTGTGGATTCCTAGGTTGTTGATTAGGGGTTTATGGTTTTAGGTAGCAGCAGAGAAAATGTATGTATGTTTGGTTGGTTTAAACACTTTTTGTCTATGTTGAAGTTATTTTACTAAAAATCAAAATTTATTATGGTTTATTATAATTTATCACCTATTTTATTTGTGTTTAATTCCCATCATTTTTTTGACTGACCAACAACCGATATGGGTTTAGACATCGCCTATGCCTCTCATTTTTCAGGTTAATTCTTTCTTTCTTAATTTATTTTTACTGTTTTTTGTGATCTTTGATGCTTCTGAGAGCTCAACGTCACCCTCGGTGTAATATTTGCTCGTCATCCTAGAGATAGTTCCACCGTTAAGACATGGCTCAAGCTTAACCTCATAAGAAATTGATTCAATCTGCTTGTCCGTCGACGCATCACCTTCAATCAGAGTATAGTTGCAAGTGAACGTCTCTTCATTGAGCTCATCGATTCGGTACTTCAAACAATTCAAAGTGCTACCTGCATAAAACACACCCATGAAATACATGTTTCCATTATGTAAAACATTAGTCAAATTTCAGTTTGATAGGTAATACTATATATCTTGACATATGTGTCTCTGTGTGTGTTTGTGTGTGTGTTATAGTAAGCTAACCAACCTTCAGCAAAGTTGATCTGTTTGATGCTGCCAGCCCCTCCATCTCCATGAGTGATCTCCATGTTTTTAATGGCCTGTGGCATGAGTTTTGGGATCAAAGTTGTCAAAGTTGTCAGAGTCAAGGATCAAAGTTTGATAGGTAATACTATTTATTAAATACTGACATGTAGTAATAAAATTCACTTAAATAAAGTACTTTTATTTGTCACAAATGGTTGATGGTACAAAAAACGAAATATTAAAGACTCAAAGAAAATCTTTCTTGTCTATGGAAAAATAGTTGAATAGAATTGTTAAACCAAGTCCTAAAAACACTTGCGTGACGATAAAATACTATATATATACTATACTTACTGGACATTAGAAACACAATATATATATATATATATATATATATATATATATATAATATTATACTCAAAAGTTCAACACGATTTTATCTTTTTGACAAACTATCCTCATCTCCTTCTTTTGTAAAAACACATAAACTTGTATTACCATTTAGAATCCAATGTCAATATAAAACATGAAAAATAATTTTAAAAAAAACCTACAAACAAAAGAAACCATAAAGTGATATAATAGTACACTCATATGGAACCATTTTCTCAATGGTCACAATGGTTAATGGTCAAGGACCGCCTAATCATTTCTCTGTTCTCCTATAATTTTTCAATGTCTAACCGACCACACGTTAGAAAAAGATAGACCCAGCTAAATGCATGAGCAAAGCAGCTCTAATGGTTGAGAGAGACAGACGACGCGCACACATCTGAATCTGAAAGGGTGAGAGCGAGAAAATGCAAGGAACAGCAAATATTATACTGTTTGTGAAGACCATCAACACTCTCAGGGGGAAGCTGGTGTCGAAAGTCTCCATTCCGAAAGGGCTTGTTGAAGTTCGTCTAAACCTGAAGATGAAGCTTCTCTGAACAAGATGGAGAAACTCACAGAAACGATGAGCGATCAGGACGTGCAGAAGATGTCCGATATGCACACTTTTATCCATGGCAAGGAAGCAACCGACCGAGTGATCAGCGAAGCCAGCAGTGGTGGGTCGTTGAAGGAGATGAATCACTCAGCCTTTCCTCGGATGATTGACAATTTTCTCGCCCATATCTCCAGTCTCCTTCCCAAGAACACCGAGTGATCATATTAGGGTTTAATGGTGCTGGTAATTATTAACTCTCGCCACAGTTTAGTTAGTGATTTTGACTTTCCCTTTTGTTTGTTGCTCTATTACGGTCGGTAGGGTTTATTATTAGGGTTTCCAAGAGTTTCAGAGAAAATTTGGGCGAAGAAAGGTTTATGGTGGTAGTAGCATGGTAATTGTTTGATAAAATGCCCACTAGAGGAGTCTCTCTCTGCAGGTGTATGCATTTTTGTGAAAAATGGTTAATGATTTAAGTTTATGACATTAATCTCGAGCTCAAGCAAACATGATATCTATATCTTGCTATGCTGAGGATGAGGGTACGTGAGGAGAGAACCAAGACTACAGATTCAAATGGTTTTCTACTTCTTTGATCGATCTTTTGGCTTTTCTTCTTTACCAAATCTGGTTTGCTATGTTGAATGAGTCTACTAATACAGCACCGTCAAGTTTTTGATGCCAGGTGAAAACTGAAACCTTCCTATCAAGCCTTATCCCACATTCTTCCATCTCAAACTTATTTCAAGTTTCAACACAAACCACCGTTAGCTTTGATGTAATTAATATTTGCTTGGTATATTAAAACATTGATTTAAGAGATTGCTAAAATTTAATCTCATAAGAAATTGATTCAATCTGCTTGTTTATTAAGCCCTCACCTTCAGTCAGAGTACAGTTGCAAGTGAACTTCTCTTTGTACTTCCTGCACCAAACACACTTTATGAAATACATGTGTGTGGTTTAGTTACTCAGGAAGTCCATTTCAGTCAAAAAAAAATAAATAAAAATTGTTGCTTTTCAAACCTCCTTTTATGCTTCGTTTGGTTGGGGAATGGAAAAATTAATAGAAGACAAAGGAGGAGGGATGGTTGGAGGAATGGAAAAAGTTTATATATATATATATATATATATATATGTATGTATGTATGTATTTTACCAATCTATCCTCGTTGTATAAAATAATAAAAGATAGATATTCATTTAAATTTTTTTGAAAAAGCTACTTATCAAAAAATAAATAAATAAATAAATAAAAATTGAAAAAGTTAAAATTGGAAATTGTATAAGGGCTCGTTTGACAAAACTTTTGTTTTTGCTTTTACGCAGAAGATATCACTTTCACTTTGCGTATATGTTAGCGTTTGAGAACTGTATTTTAAAAGAGCTTTTAATGTCAGAAGCGATCTTCAGTTTCTCTCTTTCCTTCTCTCAAAATTAGGCGGACCTCCCTATCTTCTCTTCCATTCCCTTCAACCAAATACGAAAAGCTTCATCCATTCATTCCTTGGCAATCCTTTCCTCCAACTAAACATAACACATGCAACAAATTTTTTTAAAGTAAATTCTTATTTTACTAATTTGTTCATATACTTTTCATAGATTGACGAGATTGTCCTATATAAGCTCTTGTTCCTTCCTTCCTCCACTGCGACTATGGGCCTATGGTCACTACCTCCACCGCTGCAGCAACCACTATCCCCGCTAGTGCCTTCCACCACCACCGCTACTACCTCCCATTGCCATCACCACTCCCACCAGCTGCCACTTCCTTCCACCACCAGCCCCCTTGCACTCGCCGCCACCAACGAGGACTTTGGATACCAAGAAGTTCACTCATAGTGTCATAGACCCAGAATTATGGAGAGACGGAGACGCACATCCAAAGGTTGGCCCTTCCATTGCCATTGGACCATTGTAGCCAAATAGGGGGCATTGTTCATTGTAATGGGCCGCCATCAGATTGCCCATTTTTATTTTGACTTTTGACTATGGGTCAAGACTTTTGGCCCATTTCTGTACATTTTCAACATATATATACATTTGCAAATCTGGAAGACGGTGTAAGGGAAGAGTGGGAGAGAGAGAATGAAAGAAACAGCGAAGATTGAAGTGCTTGTGAAGGCCATTAACACTATAAGGAGGAAGGCGGTGTTGGATGCCCACATTCCCAAGGGGTAGTTGAAGTTTGCATCAACCCTGAGGATGACGCTGCTCTGAACAAGATGAAGACTCTTACAGACACGATGATGATGAGAGAGGCCTATTTTCGGATGGCCTCAGATCTCCACACCCATTTCTTTGGCAAGGAAGCTACCGACCGAGTGATCAGCAATAATGGCCAAGGCAGCACTGATTCGTGAATTCGTAGGTGGGATTGTATTAGGGTTTAAATTTATGTTCTTCAGTAGCAGCAGAGAAGTTGGAACATGGTATGTGTGGTTGGTTGAAATACTTTTGTCTATATTGGGGTTTATGATATGAACTCTCTTCATCTATTATTTGATCTATGCTTTTCATTGATTGCTATTGTGATTTTAACTCTCCTTTTGTTTGTTGCTCTATTAGGGTAGGTTAGGGTTTATGCTTGTTTGAACTTCCGGGGAGTGCAGTAGGTTCGGCATTCAGAGAAATTTGGGCGAAGAAAGGTTTATGGTGGTAGTAGCATTAATGCATCATAACTGTTTGATAAAATGCCAATAAGGGCAATTGAAAAAAAGAGACTAGATTTTCTAAAAAGGAAGAAAAATCATTATCCACCACCCATGGCTATAAGCAGGGTTGGGTTTCTTAATCTACTACTAACAGCACACCATAGACTTGAGAACATTATGCATAGGCATCAGGGTTTTGCAAGAGGTAGGATTCGACAACCTTGAACATTCCCATGGCTTTTTCCTTACCAGTCTTAATGAACTCTTCGACATCACCCTTGGTGTAATATTTGTTTGTCATCTTAGAGACAGTTCCACCATTTAAGAGCCGGCTCCAACTTAACCTCATAATAAATTGTTTCAAATTGATCTGCGGAAACAACATGAATTTGGAATGAGCCAACAATTGTTTAGACAAAAGGAACAAATTTGACGATAATCAAAGAAATTTCATTGGAACCCCCCAAAATAAAATACCAAATACTAAGGAGGGAGAGAGAAAGACAAAACAAACACAGAACATTAAGGTCCTTCAATGGTTTGACCTGGAACACATAATTGAGAGTTAAATCATATTATACCGGACCCACTTGTCTATTAAAATAAGTTATACTATATTTTGAAAATAATATTTAAAGTTTTTATATGTATAGAATACACTGCGGCGAAAATTTAGTTACTTATTTTTTTTAATTGACGTGGCGCTTTCATAGCCACTTATTTGGCACCGGATGGAACCGGTCACTGTAAGACAGGAAGAGATTTTGCACCGGATGACAATGGCACAGGGACTACACCTCCTTTCTAAATCGGTCCTACGAATATTTTGTGCACCATTTTTATTAATGGGAACAAGATTTAGAACTGAAGTTTTGTGCACTGGAGTAGTCAATTTTTTCTCTATTGAAAGAATTAAATTAATTGAGGATATTTATTGAAGGAATTAGTTACCCACAGTTCTCTCCCTCTTGATCTCTATTCCAACAAACAGACACACCCGTACATTGATGTAATCGACATGATCATATATGATTGCTTTTAAGTACGTAGGTTTTTATGCTAACTGGCTAACAAATGTGTCTACTTCTATACACAATCATGACATACCCTTCAAAGATGAATTTCAAATCCACATCCCTTTTCCCTGCAATCGTTTCTCTGTTAGTTATCTTCCTTTTGATAGATGTCTCCGCCGTGCTCGGCGGTTGGCAGCCAATTAAGGACCCAAATGACCCACAAGTGATTGATATCGGAGAGTTCGCGGTGACCCAACACAACAAACAGGCCAAAACGGGGTTGAAGTTCGAGAGCGTGGATTCGGGAGAGACCCAAGTAGTTTCGGGTATCAATTATAGGCTGGTTATATCGGCCAAAGACGACTCCGTTTCGAACAAGTATGAGGCAGTTGTTTGGGATAAGCCATGTGAGAGTTCTTTTTTCTCAAAGCCTTGTAACAGTTTTAGGAACCTCACATCCT